AGAGATGCGCTACTCGCTTATCTACGCCGCTTGCTTATTAACTATATTATATAAAGATTAATAACTTATCTTATTACTAAAATTACCCTTTATAGACAAGTAAAGTTAGGAAGTATTATAGGTCCTATCGAGCAACAGCAGATACCTAGAGCTATGGTTATTAATATTTAATAGCTGTAGTACTTGGCTTAGGCTACCCTCTGGATATCGACGGCGGCTAGGGCTAGGCATAACTGATATAACCACATGCGGGGGCATAGCTGAAAAAGCAGGCCTTTACCGAGTGGTATAAACTTGACCGACAGCCGCATATGGGATTATAATAATAAAGCAAAAGCGTACTCCCTCTCTCTAGAGCTTAGCCGTCTGGTAAATTAAAATGAAGACTCGTGGTAAGTGACTGATTGAATAATACCTCACGCGGCCAACTATGCAAACTATCTAATCTATTGATGGTTTTCAAAGCACTTCAGTACCCTAGTTCGTCACAGACTGACCATCACACCTTACTTGCTCAGCCATGTTGATTCTGTTCATCGGCGCAACCCAAACGCCGCGAGCTCCCACGCCGCTCTCCAATGCCTTGGCCCCAAACGGTACATCATCGACGTGTCTGTCCTCCAAGCCACAACGGCGCAACTGTTCAGATCGCACCGCCCCTATCTTTTCGTATCGGCGTCTCTTGTAGCCAACTTGCCATAATCGAACAAAACCAGCGCCAATGACAATGACAATTGAACAGGCTAGCACCTATATCAATGGCCAGGTTAGAATAGGTATGAGTGATGGTGATGAGAGTAGAACCCACGAATGATAGCTGCAGCCAGAGCTCCCAATCCAAGAAGAAAGCAGTCATACTCGAGGTTTTTGGCTTGGGCTCCAAGAAATAGAATTGTCAGTCTGTGTAAGTTGTGTGAATGGAACAAGGGCAGTTTTGAACAACAGTAATGGGTCTGCCTCGGGATCAAGGGCCGGAAACGAAGCACAACTACCCTGGTTCCACAGCCAAGTTTCCGGGCGCTGTTGGCTCGTGCACTATCAATACCTCGACAACTACCTAGGCTAGGGCTGTGTGGGCCCAACATGCTATCCAGGCTATCCTCAAGGTCAATCTAAACATAGAAACAAGTCCATCCCCTAGATGCTTGACAGTATTGGCACTTTACGAGATACGAGCATTGTGCAGTGGATGTTCGGATGTCTTGAGTTTCGGCGTGCAGGCATCAGCCTGGCATGGACCTGATGATACATGCCCTCGGCAAGAAACAACAGACTAAATTAAGCTTGGCGTGCATTCGCGAGCAACAGTTTTGGCTTGGCAAATTAATTTTACAGCTGCAGATAGATGACCATGCAGTACCTAGTTGACCATACACTACCCAGCTGATATCAAAAGGTTCTCGATCTAAAAGAAAGCGACACTCAAAACAAACACCCATGACAGAGCAAAGAGCAACCCCTGAGCAAGCTGCGGCCGCGCAGAAGCAGTGCTCGAGTTTTGCCGAGACAAGAACTGGCCACCAGTAGTTGCATTCTCGACACCCACGTCTGGAATCACACACGTAGCCACCTTGGCCTCGTCACAACTTTTTCCCCATTTGTTCGTCTCGTGTGCATCCGAAGAGTTAAAGTAGGCCTTGACATAACTCACGACAATCGGCGAGTCCACCGTCGGCGGCCCCCCCGACCAGAGCGCGTTTCCGTTGCTCCAGTGCTGCAGCACGAGATGCCCAGCCGTCGACGGCGTGTCCGCGCCCGTCATTTCGGCGAGCAGCTTGCTGTCTGCGTAGAATCGCACTTTTCCCGGCAGGTAGTCGAATCTGTACTCGTGGAAGCCGTTTGTGGGGTCAAAGGTTAGATTTGCGCGCTTAAAGTTGCCCGACTTTGCGGCGTCGTAGCCCGCCTGCATCGACGCCATGGACTGAATCACCAGATTGACTGGGTAGATGTTGTTTTCAAAGTCGAATTCGCGGGACAGAAACTCAATGTCAATCTCTTGCGTGTCGTTGAAGAACTAAAAAAGCAGAGGTGTTAGCCTGATGTGGTGAAGCATTTCCAGAGGGGTGCGTTTTTTACTTGCCCAGAAAAAGGCCGCACACGTGCCGTTGACAGCGGATAGACGCATCCCGCATCGATAGGAGCCCCAAGTCATGTTGTCTGGCGATGTGGCCATCTCGGCAGCCGTGACGGCGCCATCAGAGAGCTGGCCCCCGACGTGGAGTGTAATGCCGTCTGCGCCATTGTTGGCGCAGCCATCGTTCTTGGGGCTTCCCTTGGGGCAAGCAGCAATATTGTCAAGGGTGAAAGCTTTTCCGTACTGGCCTCGGCCTTGCGCAGCAGTCACATTGTACTGCTGGCCGCGCCAGCCACGGATTTCGGAAGGCTTCTTGATGGCGGTAAAGTCAGTCTCGAAGGCATTTGTGAATGTCAAAGAGCTGTTGCTGGCAGACGACTGCGCTGTAGTGAAGCCACATTCGCAGGCTGCGGTAGCAAGGCAAGCCGCTATAGCCAACAGCAGAAGCCGAAGTAACAGAAATTGGGAGTTGGCCATCGGGCTAGGGAGAGCAAAATTGATAAGAGAGACTCGTTGGCTGCTGCCGCACCGGCTCGTATAGTACTTTTGAAGGAATTTTTCAATAGTCTTTGCAACAGATTTTCATCCGATAACACCTGCTTCAACGCTCCAGCTTCAATGTATGGAATATAAAACGAGATTGTGCGGTGTGGTGGAGTCGGACGTCCTGGTGATGCGGATTCTTGGCCGAATGGCCTCTCGTGTTCTTCTTACGCGTACAGTCTTATGTCTATTTCTAAAAAGACACCTTTCCCCTTTTTTCTCAGGGGTTCAAGGGATGCTATGTAGCGAATAATGACGTGAAGGGTTATAGCCAACGGCAGATGCCGAAGTAATCAGCCTTGTGGCTACTATAGCGCCGTGATTCGTATCATGGTTGCAGAAATTTTTCAATATTCTTTATTAAATACATTGATTTAATAGCACTTGCCTTGGCTCTAATTTCTACGCTATGGATACAAGACGAGAGAGCCTGCGGTGTGGTGGAGTCGGCTGGATGTCCTAGCAATGCGGAAACTTGGCTAGACAATCTGTCGTGTTTTTATTACGTGTATAGTTTGGTGTCTATTTCTAGAAACTCGGTTTCCCCTATCTTGACATATGAGTGGCAATGAGCTAAAGAGGATGCTACGTAGTGAGTTTTGACGCAAAGGGTCAAGGGGCCTGCGTCGGAAACAACGATGGCGGGGATAAAATATAGCGATGATTAGATTCACTGCCAATCTGTAGCGGAAAATTATTCTTGAGCCATATTTCTTTATTCATCTTTGTTAATAATATTTGACCCGTATCGCGGTGCTGTTTGTCTTAGCCAGTCAAGCCTTACCTGTCAACGCCACTGTGAACCCTTTTACACTGCTGGCAACAATGGCGGACACGGACAAATGGCAGCCAAAGGATGTAAGTAAACAGAATCGGGCAAATTGGCTTTTTCTTTGGTTTTCCTCATAGGTAACTGATCTCTTGGTTGTGTAGATAGCCTACACTTCCGTTGTAGGAACTGTCATGCTCATGGCTCTTCTCGAGTGGGTGATGTGGCTGGCCGCCTTTCTGTACTGTTTGTTCAAAGTCTATCGCAAGGCTGAAGAGCGCTCTGTCAAGGTGCTTTCCGTCATTGTAGGCATTCTCTTTATTCTTCTTCGGTAATAAGTCAACTTTCTCTGTTTAGTCACATTCACCCCCAGTCTAACACAAGTTCAGGATGATATTCCTGCCCATCATGGTCGTTACGCTTCCTCTACCCGGTCAAATCTCTCGAGTCTTTCCACGAGCCATGGTATCCTTTTTGCAATGGTTTGCCTTCTGGAGCTTCTCCATCCTGCTCACGATACCCTGGCTGTTCTGCGTCTACCAACTCGTCACCCACAACCTCGGCCGTACACGACGTATCAGACAAGTGCTGGATGACAATACTGCCCCCAAGGTCGTGGTCGTCATGCCTATATATCGCGAAGAGCTGGACGTCCTTATCACGGCGATTAACTCGGTTGTCAGCTGCGACTACCCGCCGGCTTGCATACACGCTTTCCTGTCCTTTGATGGTGACGAGGTGGATAAGCTCTATCTAGGACTGCTCGAGAGTCTCGGTGTAGAGCTACCGCCAGGAAAGTATCCGAGGAGTTTGGATGTCATCTACAAGGGCGCTCGCGTAACCGTATCGAGGTTTGTCCATGGCGGCAAGAGACATTGCCAAAAGTCGACGTTTAAACTCATCGATAGAATCTACGGCCAATATCTACGGAAGCGAGATGACCTCTTTATTCTCTTTATCGACTCGGACTGCATTCTTGACAAGGTCTGCCTGCAGAATTTCATGTACGACATGGAATTGAGTCCTGGAAACAAAGGAGACATGCTAGCCATGACGGGCGTCATTACATCAACAACCCGAAAACACAGTCTGATAACGTTGCTCCAAGACCTCGAATACGTCCACGGACAGCTTTTTGAGCGCACCGTCGAGTCAGCCTGCGGCTCCGTGACCTGCTTGCCGGGGGCCTTGACCATGCTGCGCTTCTCCGCGTTTCGAAGAATGGCAAAGTACTACTTCGCCGACAAGGCCGAAGAATGCGACGATCTCTTTGACTTTGCCAAGTGCCATCTCGGCGAGGACCGCTGGCTCACCCACTTATTCATGATTGGCGCGCGCAAGCGCCACCAGATCCAAATGTGCACGTCGGCCTTTTGCAAGACGGAGGCGGTGCAGACGTTTCGCTCCTTGGTCAAGCAGCGGCGGCGGTGGTTCCTCGGCTTCATCGCCAACGAGGTCTGCATGCTGACCGACAGCCGGTTGTGGAAAAGGTACCCTGTGCTCATCGTCATTCGCTTCATGCAAAACACCATCCGGACCACGGCGCTGCTCTTCTTCATCATGGTGCTGGCCTTGGCGACGACCGTGGCCAAGGTCAAAGACTTGCCCGTCGGCTTCATCGGCATCTCCCTCGGGCTCAACTGGCTGCTCATGTTTTACTTTGGCACGAAGCTGCGGCGGTTCAAGATTTGGATGTACCCGCTCATGTTTGTCCTCAATCCCTTCTTCAACTGGTACTACATGGTCTACGGCATCTTCACGGCCGGCCAGCGGACGTGGGGCGGCCCGCGCGCAGACGCCGCCGCCGCCGACGTCAACACCACGGCGCAGCAGGCAATTGAACAGGCCGAGCAGCAAGGCGACGACCTCAACGTGGTTCCGGAGACGTTCAGAGCGGCTGCAGAGGGACAACAGACCGCGCCTGCTTTGGGGAGACAAAAGAGCGTTGTGAGGCCGCCGGACAAGCTGGTGGGCAGATTTGTTGCTGGAAGGGGCGCGTCGACGAGCACCTTGGGCACTTTTGAGCCGGACGGCTCCAGGCCCGACTCAATCATGCTGGATGAAATGTCGCACTTGAGGCCGCCGTCAATGCTCTCGACGGTTACTAGTGTCATGAATGGCTCTCATGATAGCTTGTATCCGAGTGACCTCGAGGAGGGATATGCTTCCGGGATGTCGCCTGGCTTTTCGCCAGACGCCTCGGCAGCCGTTGCTCCATTGACATTACAGCCCTACGAGGACCCAGCAGAAGAAACTCGGACCGCCCTTCCAGAAGACGGTCGACGCTGGTAGATGGAATCCCGACAGACGACGAAGCACACAACACATCTGTACCGCATACATAATCATGTTATAGTTGATTTATTGTATAGTTAATGTAAAGAATACCTCGGAACACCGTCTCGCTTCTGTCGTCTGACGAGGTTGGCTGGTCTTGAAACGAAATTCGGATCTACGAACATGCCGTCAGACTTAAGCCGGGTAGCAGACAAAAACAAATTATAGACATGGCAAATCTGTTGTCAATGCCAAGAAGTCATGAGAAGACCGAGACCAATCATGTGCGATAGTCTAATTGCAGCGCAAAGTCGCGATGGATGCAAAGCCAAGGAGCTGGGAGGCCAAACCAGATGGCCCATGGCTGTACGGCATTAGCTCCCGGGGATTAATGCCATTGCAGGCTTTCTTGAGGCGCATATCACTTTTACACCAGACACTTCTCTGCCTGCGCGTGGAACCATCGTCGATGGCGGTACCACCAACTCTGCAGCCACCAGGAGACAGCGCAGTTTTGAGAGCGGAAATAGATCAAGCGGTAGGCCTTGCTGCCCATCTTTGAGTCAAATGGGCATGTTTCTGGCGCTAAAACATGGAGATTGGCGTGTTGTAGTTTCTTTGGGCGTATTTCTCTTTGCTCTTGAAATATTATTGTCGGTGTGTTGTAGTTTCTCGAGCGTGATTCTCTTCGCTGCTGATATAGGATTGTCCGTGTGTTGTAGGTTCTTGAGCGTGATTCTCTTCGGTCCTTATGTGTTATTGTTCGTGTCTTGTTCCTTCACTGGTAGTTGATATTCGAGAGAGTTGAATATAAAAGGCTCGAGGGTGTGTGAGCCGCAAGTGGCATATTGCGGCGGAGGTGTCGCCGGCCGGCCGGTGTCCTCGGTCCCCTCAACCCTGTCCTCGTCATCATCTTTCTCGAGGTCAATCTTCTCGTCGGACTGAGCCAAGTCCCGCCGCACCGCATTACACGGCCTGACATCAAGCCTCTCAGGCGCATCGGGTTCCCAGCTGTCGCCAGATCGCCGAATGCGCCAGACTCCCGGTAGCTCTGGAGTAAAGTCTGTCCAGCAAGAGCCAGGCAGCTCCGCAATTACGACATTTTGCGCGTGAAGCTCTGCATGGCGCTCCTCGTTGCATGATCCGCTGCTGCTGCTGCTGCTGCTGGTGGTAGTGCTACTGCTGCTGCAGCTTTCTTTAGCAGCGGCGACCTCGTCCATCGATTTCGGCGCGCGCAAAACGTTGCGCATAGAAGAGGTCTGGCTCGGGGGTCGATGGGGCCGCTTTGCGCGGCGCGAGCGTCTCCAAAAGAGCAGCAGAACAGTTCCTAGCACGGCCACAAAGATGAGCACGGCAGAGATGGCTATTCCCGCAATGGTGGCCGCAGAGGGACCACCAGATTTGGGGGATTCATCGACTTGCGACGGCGTACTGGGCAAGGGTAACGCGGCCCGCGAAACGTTGAAGTAATGGCTAGGCGTTCTCCAAATAGTCGTTTTGGCTCCTACAAAGCTGAGGGAGGCGACGAAAACGGTGTCGAGGCCACCATCCTCGGGGTCGTTCAAATACTCTTCTCGTCCTTCAGGCGTCCAGGTGTAGTTTTGTGTGGAGATGGCAGCTGCATCCGTTTGTTAGCAGCCAAAGTCATTGCAAAAAGATGAGCAGTGGTCTTTTGTTCAATGCACAGCATCAGCAAAGGTGAAAACGATAAGTGACATACACTTTAGTACCCATTTTCTCGAAATCGCAGACAGGTTCGTTAGGTCAACGCGCTCCAATAGCAAGTCAATCGGGCGGTCGGCATACGACCAGGCAAACTCGATGTCCTCGTCGGCTGGATACACAGCATTGAGGGCGAAATTGCCGTAGGCGCTACCGGGTGGCTTGCTAAAGATGCCGGAATTGCGGTCGGCGATGCTGCATGCGATGCATATCGATAGGGTGAGTAAAAGGCCAAAACGTCGCAAGGCGGCCATCACTCCATGTGTTTGTACGACAGAACTTGTTGATGCGACTCTATGTAGGGACCGGGCTGGCAGTAGAGGTAGCCACTGTCAACATTGACTGGCTAGCCAGGCAGAGGAACAGGCAACCAGATTTGAGGAAAAGCGTGGTGCAGATGATGTTCGGATAGAATGTTTCTGGGGCGATTCTATCGAGTTCACAGTCCAGGGGTAATTCACGACAGGGGAGTTGTTTTTTTTTTTTAAGTTCTGGGCAGCACCCTAGTTTTTAGACTCAGTGACGAGCCAAGAAGAAGACACCAAGTGGGCTCATGGCCATGACTCCCATGAGCCGAGGGCCGCCAACATTCTCGACATTGACCAAGTTGCAGGGACGGACCTCGGGTAACATTAAGAGGCATATCCGGATCTGATGAACGGTAAAGTTGGCCTCGTGCTATAACGTCGCCAGTGGGCAGGAAAAGGCAGGATTCGGAAAATTTCAAGACAAAGGCAGCTAGGTACTATTGTGATGGCGGGGCCACTAGTAAATACCTACTCGTACTGGTAATTTAGTCGTTGTGCTCCAAGGTAGCAAGTGGGTATGGAGCCGCTGTCAGAACTTGACTCGGTGCTCGACGCCCGTGGTTTGGCTCTTCTGTTATGCGATAACACTGTACAGCTTGCTCACATTGTTACTACAAGGTCATTCATACAAATTGTCCCAGATTTCACTAGCCAAGTTGGATCAAGTCGCACAAGCAATATCCAAAGAGGCCTATTCAAGTCAAACAAGACTTGGCTGTCACGCTGTCTACTGGTAATCCGTACTTCGTACTTTGTTCCAGTAGTTCCATCTTCCCCTACCCACTTGGCGTCCTCTTGGACGTGCAGCTCTGGGTATTCGGCGGACTTGGCCGGACCAATGGCCCCAGACATGTGCACTGACCTGACGTAATTACCGGATACAATCCGTCGCCAAAGTCCCCTTCGGTGCGCGTCTTGCCGCGTATCATTGTGCATTAGCGCAGTAAAAAGTCTTGCCACTGTACCGGTAGACGATACGTGGATAGCCAGGTCGTCAGTATTCTGCTAAGCCGCGGCAAATCCTGTCGCGATTGTGTGTACCAGCGTTGAGGGTGACGTTCCTAGTGAGGCTGCAGATGGCATCCAACGCACGCTAAGAATGCTCGGGTGGCACCGCCATCGCACGACGCCTCGATTTATTAAATGTGATGAAGCCAGTGCGGTGCAATTGGCTTCAAACAGTGGACCGCTGGATCTGCGTACTTTATCGCTCCATTCGTGGTCATCTGTAACCGTGTGTTCGTCGTAATGATAACTCGCTTCATCATCGCTTCCGTGGCGACTGTCGAATGCGTCTGAACCAGCGAGTCCAGGGATGAAGTTGCGTCTTTGTCGCTTCAGTCTGATGGGTTGTTGATGCCTCGGGCGGCGGCGGAAATCGCATCGTGGTCGCGGCATCCAGCTCCGGACGAATTTCACCATCGCAGCTCAGCTCAACCGGGGGCACGTCACCCAGCGCCTCGGCGTACAGATCCAGCGCCGACGAATGCCCGGGTTCAAACTGGCTCTTTGCCTCACTGTCCATGTCCCCATATGCTCCGTACCTCTTCTGCCGCCGACGCCAGCTGTAGAAAGCGAGGCCGGCGCACAGAGCCAGCAGCGCGGCGCCAAGCGTGGCGCCGACGGCGATGCCTGCAATGGCAGCCCCTGACAGCCCTGCGTTTGATCCTGATGCAATGCCTTCTGCGCTCGGTATCGACGTCGCTGATGGCTCCCCCGACGTCGAGGAAGACTCATCGGGCAGTGTCAGGTTGAATGAGTGGCTTTGTGTCGGCGGGCCGCGACTGCCGCCTTCGTACGCCTGAAAATATAGGATGGCATCTTGACCCTTGCCAAGAGAAGATGGAAAGTTATCAAGACTGGGGTGCCAGGTATACGTGCCGTTTGAAATTCCGGCTGCGATCCATAGCGTCAGCGCAGGGCAATTTGATGAGGTTCTCAGTAGACACACCGATGCAGCTGTGTCCCTTTGGTGATTGCTTACCTTGCAACTGTGGCGTCCCGGACGGCGTGTTTGGGTACATCTGCCCCAACCAAATATCGACGGTGTCGTACACGGTCTCCCAGCTTATCGTAACTTGGCCCCCGACCTCGTATACTGGATTACTGGCCGGGAAGCGCTGAAGGTTGCCAAATACTCCGAGGAATGTGAGGTTGTTTTGGCGGGTGATGGTGCTGCTGCTGCTACCAGTGGTGCCGGTGGTGCCGGTGGTGCCAGTGGTGCCAGTGGTGCCAGTGGTGCCAGTGGTGCCAGTATTGTACATCTGACCTTGGATCAGTAGGGCGAACAAAGGCAGAAAAAGCAGGTGCAGCGGCCACTGGCCGGGCAGAACAGCCATTGTGATTTGGTTCGAAGGCGAATCCGTCACCTAGAGTCAGTTTGCACGGCGCATACGGACAGTACGTTATGTTTCGTCTAGAGAAAAAAAAAACAAAGTGAGGAGGGATCAAGAGCCGAAATAGGGGACTACACCAGGTCTCAGCGGGAAGGCGCTGACGACTCGTATTGGAGCCACTAACGGGGTGCCTAACTTAAAGCCATAACGAGCCAGCCACACACAAGGGATGAATTATCTTAGCTAGGTCCACCTGCAGCTCTCGTACCTGCTTCCCTTTTTTGGGATGGAGCAGACGCTAATAAATCTATCTGCTCAGTATTGATAGTCAGAGGCGGTAACTGCCAAGGCCATGGCGTCGTATCCGGTCTTGGACAATTTCTATTTAATAGCGCAGCCAGCGAAACGGCGAAACAAGTTTTCTAATCGCGCATTTGGTTCTTTCCAGAGAAGTGCCGACGATTTGCAGTGCGCTTCAGTCAACAGATCAATGTATGCGGCTCTTGAGCTCAATAACAAGAATGGTGCCTGGTTCCTGATTCTAGAATGAGCGGAGCAGTAGTGGTGACTGCTCAGTGGTCTAAATCCGATCTGGCGGGGTCCTAGCCCGACAATATCACCTATCGGGTCTTACCTACCTATATGTCGAGGCTACTGTTGACTGATCCGAACCTTTGAGCGAGACGAGCCACGAAAGTCTGCAAGTTAAGCGCCATAGATTGTAGATTGACTGTAGATTGCATTGCGCCTTTCTGGCGTGTCTTTTAACGTATTGCGCTCGTCACAAAACCAGCGGCTAGAACGGTACTTGGCGCTTATCGTAGAATGGTTTTTCTGCACCGTAGATAAGAGCCGCCCCCACAATTGACAGAGCCCGGAATTGATGTCAAGAGCAACGGAGCCGCTACTAGGAGAACATCCAAGCTTGACTGGGAAAGGTAACCAAGCAAGGGGTGTGAAAAATACACCGCCGATACACCACAACCTTTATCACAACTAATAGTTATAAACTAACTATCTATAATAAAATAAATTAAGAAAAGTATTACTAAAATAAGTTTTAGTAATAAGCTTTATATAAATTATTTAAACCTTAAAGTTAATTATTAATATATTTTAAAATAATTATAATAATAAAAAAGTATATAAGGGTTAATAAAAATAAGAAGATTTATAATAATTTATAAATAATTTATAAAAACTTATTTTAATATATATTAAAAACTATTAAGATAATATTATAATATTAACTTATAGATTTTTTTAATAAAATATTATTATATTTTATAAATTTATTTAAAAAATAAATAAGTTTTTAAATAAAATTATTATTAATTTTATATTAATTTTATATATATAAGATTATAAGTATATTAAAAAAGATTTAAGTAAATAAATTATTTAGTAGTTTAATTATATTATAATATTTTTTTATAATTATTATCTTTTATCCTAAGGCTATTATAGTAATAATAAATGTGTGGTAGTTGATGGTGTGGATCGGCGATGTTTTTTTCATACCCAGGGCCAAGGCATCGATTGCTAAAGGGTCAGGGCAGATGCAGTTAATACTCCAGATCGTGTGGTGGAGGCAGGTGAGAGCGGACATCCATAACTTTGATGGCTGACTCGGTCATTGTCCCCGGTAAAGTGCCGACTATCCGTTCAAATCCCACGAGAACCGCAGTGCTCAATCCAAATATGTTAAGCCAGAGAAAGCAAAGCGCCCCACTGAATGGAAATTGCCGAAAAAGCATCAATTGGCGCCCCACAGCACCTCGACCATCACTCACCCTACAGTGATTCGGATTTCTGTTGGAACAAAGAAAACTCGAATCTGGTACAAAAAATGGTACAAGATGCGATGGGCATCGCAACTTGGCCGTGTATTCAATTACCGCTAGGGAAGAGTCAAAGGGCAAGCCACTTAACGAGATGGAAATAGAATGCAAAGAGAACCGCTTGAGCTAATGGATATAATCCATGTATTGAGCACCTCGCAACGCTTCCTGACGACACCGAATTCAGTTTAACCCAGCCCTGTGCACGTGGCGTATGCTAGCGGCAAAGTACTATGCAGTTAGTATTGCGCAGATCTCCTGAGCTGCTCCAGTAAGACTGCAGCGTAGCATTCATTCTCTTTCATGTCAACTATTTACGTACAAGTGCCCCACCGGCGGGGACCATTAAAGTTAGCCGACAATGGACACACGTTGACACGGAATAAAGTTCGCTTAGCCAGCCCAAGTCGTACAGTAGCGTTGCCTGTCTCCCCTCGCAAGCTTCGTATTGCCCTGAGCAATAGCAGACAAGAGCAGAGCAACGGCAGAGCACAGACGTTGACCTTTCCAGAGGAGAAGTGGTTATCGCATTTAAGATGCTCATCCATTTGCGATTCTTGACAATTCTGCACCGCAGTTTACTTTGTACATTGTTCCGCAACCAAGGAAGTATACAAGATGTGAAAGAATGAGCCAATTCGCGAAACACAGACACGGCAACACGGGTACTCGACTCAACGATTGCCGACTGCATCGCATCCACAGTATGCGGCCCACGAGACTCCATCTTACAAGGATGTTGACGAATCAGAATGAAATACTAGAGGCACTCGAGGCCAAGTTGTAAGTGTAACTTGAATAGTAGTTCTGGGAAGGATGAACAAGGGTTAGGGTTATACATCGCACTACCGCGTTGGTACAAAATTGACATGCAAATACTGTTTATAGTCTTGCTTACGTCTGAAAGAATATCGTATAAATCTTCAAAATGATTTACGCTTGCACGGGCTGTGCAGTCTTTGGAAGTGTGTCTCACGTCCAACGTCGGCTTTCATGCAACCCGCGTGGCTGTGCCTTGCCAAAGAGACGTTACGCCAGAGTAGACCAATTTTCTTTTTTTTTTTTTTTGGTTTTTCTCATGGTTGCGTGCTAATATGAACAAAAATACCGGTAATTCCATCTCATGCAGGATTCGCCATGTTCTTGATTTGCATAGCCGCATGAGTGCTGTTTTTGTGTCTCGGCTAGCAACCACAAACCAACGACGACACGTCTCGCAGCTTTCAGGCCTCTGCTTTAACGATTCTGTCCCGCTGGTTGTCGTGAAACTCTGCTTTGCTTTAGAAAGGCAAAATCACTAGATTGTGGATTCTAGTAATAATGCTGCAATTATTTTGGAGGCAATGCGCTGCTGTGCTATGCTTTGTGCACTGCGCCACTCTCCTGGGAACAAGCTAACAGGATGACAGGCTAATAGTGTGGGCATGGGTCATACCGATGGTGACTCGAGGGCCGTTTTATGCGCAAGAACTGCATGAAATGAATAGAAGTCTTGCTGCAATAGCCGCCAAGCATGGGCGCCGAATTACTGAGTATTCGAGATATGAATTGATCAAGTGTACACTGTCGTGCAGCCGAAGCAGCATTCCGGTCCGCCTGATTCAGGTCCATGCAGCATATGACCGAAAAGTGTGCATTCAACTTTTTCAAGCCGTCCCAGTGCAGAAAGGGCAAAAAAAGAAAAAAAAAGCATAAGTCATTTGAGAACTTCATTAGAGACACATTATAAATATACAGGGCGCCTGGTAGGTTCAGCTCAGTTTTTCGCACTACGCTTCGCAACTCGTCCAAGAAGTAGATGCAACGCCATGTATGCCAGCACACCAGTCAAGCACAGGCCGCTGATGACGCCAAACCCGGTAAGATACTTTGGAGCGTCCTCTGCCGGAAACAAGTAGGCTCCGTAAATCTGTGCCAGGTTTCCCATGGCATTGACCAATGCCAGTGACACTGCTTTCGCTTCGTTGGGCATTGAAGAAAACGTCACCGATGCGTACGACAGCGCAAGACCATTCGATGCCCAGAGCCCCGAGGCCATGATGACAAGAAGGGCATATCTCGCCTTGACATTGTACACGGCACATATAATAATGGAGCAGAGCATTGCAACACTCATCATGGCCCCGAGAATTACGCCGCGCCATTTCGAGTTTTTGTCGGCAACGTATCCTATGACGGCTGTGGTGACAAATGCAACGCCAAAGATGGGAATAGTCATGTACTGTGCTTCTTTTTGTTCATATCCGAGGCCTTTGACCAGTGTCGGATAAAAGTAAGATAGAGTGGAAGACCCGACGATGGCCTGTCAAGTAGAACGAATCAGACACGGACCCAGCAAGGTGGGACACGGATTTACTTTGATTTATACTTACCATGTAGCCAACAACAAGTAACAATGTTTTCCAGCTGGTCAAACTCAACTTTAATGCCTGTAGGTGAGTCAAATGTGGCTGTTCCTCGGTGGTGTGACTTCTAGCATCGACTTGAAGTCTCCGAATAGCCAAACTTCTCTCCACGACGCTGAGCTTGCGTTTCGACATATTGCTAGGGAAATCCGGAATAATAAAGACGGCAATGACGGCCGTAATCATGGTGCCCACACCCTCGACAATGAAAAGCCACCGCCATCCCTGTATTCCATGCGCATCGTGCAAGCCGCTCGTAATGGAGCCGGCAAGAAGGCCACCAAAGGCGCCGGATAAGATGGCAGCAGAAATGTACACGGCAAAACGCCGGCTTTGCTCCTCTTTGCGATACCACGAGGACAGAATCATGAGGATGCCGGGCGCGAACCCAGACTCCAAGAGGCCCATGAGGAAGCGAAAGGCAACAAAGGCGCCGTAGTTGGGCGTAAAGGCCATGCCAACGGTGACGCCGCCCCACAGGAACATGATGGTCGCAAGGTAGCGACTCGGACGAGTTCTGGTCAGAATCATGTTTGACGGCACTTCAAAGACGACATAGCTGACGAAGAAGACTGTCAAGGCGATGGAGTATTTGTTCGAGTCCAGGCCGAGGTCCTTGTCCATCCCGGCAATCTTGGCGTTTCCAATACTAAACGGTTAATATCTGGTTGCCAGATGCAGTCAGAGATCGAGACTTACTTGGTTCTGTCCATGTACGACAACAAATACATGAACCACATACAGGGCAGAATGTACAAGTCAATCTTTCGAACAAGCTTCTTCTCCTGCTCTAGTTCTTCAGGCGTCAAGGCAGTATCCATGGTGGATGAGCTATTGGATGTCTCCAACACATCGTGGTGTTCACACTCGAGCTGCTTTTCCATGATGATATCGGATGGCATGTTTGTGTTTATATAAGCCTGGAGACAGGATGACGCCAAGGCAGCATGATGCTCAAAGTCTCAGGATATCGCAGTCGGCGAAGCAGAGTGCCATCTTTATCAAGTTTTCGGCGCCCTCGCAGACAGCAGTCAACGTTGGACGAGTGTCGAAAAGGGAGAATGGGTCTCATGGCTGAGCAACGGTCTGCGGGGGGGCCGATCAACAGTTTAGGCGGGCGTGGGGAAGAGTGTTGAATATTCCTCGGAACTAGGCTTTCTGGGGTAAAAAGTGTGGGGGAGCTGCGGAGGGCTGATCGCGTCTCGCGCACCACTTATACGCAGTCGTTCGATAAATCCTTCGGCAAATAGTAGAGACCGCGTGTCGCGGCCCCTGTAGATTCAAAGCCACTTACGGCAGACCGTTTCAGCGAGTCGTGTAAGTGAAGGCGTGGCTGGATGTCCGCCCAGCGGCTTTTGACATCGGCTACAGGCAACTCTGGGGCGTCTCTACGCACTGTATTTAATCACAGCAAGTGAACTTGGCAAAACATCATTACTTTGATCTTTCCAACTGCCTTTGCATTCATTACATCTCACGACAGGCAAATTTCATCCTTGCCGCAATGGTTGCAGTAGCTAATGGCGCGATTGTGCACGATGGCGGCGCCTCATCCCTGCCCACAACCCTGAGCACACTCCCTGGCCCCAACCACGACTGGAGCGTAACTCTCAAAGACAAAGTCATTGCCAGTGCGTATCACCCTCATTTATGTCGCAGCCTGCATGTTGACAGTGAAAAGTCACTGGTGCCAATCAAGGTATTGGCCTGGCACTTGCAGAGGTGTGCCTCGCCAACGACGCTGCGTCCGTCTTTAGCTTGGACATTTCAGTACCCGCGGAGTCATTCGCGGATCTGGAAAAGTGTTTCCCGGGCAAGCTAGAGTTTTGGCACTGTGATGTCACAAAGGAAGAGAGCGTCCAGGCGGCGCTCGATGCCATTGTCGCCAAGAAGAAACGCTTCGATGGCATGATTGCCAATGCTGGAGCCACAAAGCACCAGCCCGCGCTGGACTTTACCATGGACCAGGTCAAGCGACTGTTTGAGCTAAATGTTTATGGCTCGTGGAACTGCGCGACCGCCGCGGCGAGAACATTCATCAAGCTCGGATGCAAAGGCAGCATTGTCTTCACCGCAAGCATGACTTCATATCGTCCCAACAGAGTAAGCTACCGCGATGCCTTACACTGCGAGGAAGCAAAAGAGAGATTGTGCGCTGACCGACTCAATTTAGGCTGCCCCGTCGGCCCCCTACGGCGCAACAAAGGGCGCGGTGCGAAACATGACGCACACTCTGGCCATGGAGTGGGCACAATATGGCATTCGCGTCAACAGCATCTCGCCTGGGTTTGTAAAGACGGCATTGACGTATTATATCGAAAAAGACCCGGAATGGGGGAATAAGATGAAGAATTATGGTGGAATGCCTCGTTTGGCTCTGCCGCAGGAGCTTGGCGGGGCGTACGTGTACCTGCTGAGTGAGACGTCGACGTATACTACTGGTATTGATATTCCCATAGCTGGTATCGTGGGAGCTTGGTAATTAGAACGGCAATTTAAAGCAATCGAGTGGATGCAATGAACTTCTTGTCCGCTAAAATATTCTACTTCATGTTGCCGCTTTCCAATGGGGTACTTGTATCACGACCCAGTCGCTGGGGCTTCCTTCTCGGTCGTATCATTTGCCTCCTCGTCGGTAAGCTTGTCCTTAGCCACCATGCCAAATTCGGTTTTGTTCTCTTTTCTAAGCGGCATCTGCTTCATAACTATAGCGGCGATGAGACCAACCGCGCCGAAAGCAATGGCAACTTGCCAGGTCCGCCTGAGAGCGGTGCTCTGCACAGAAATTACCTGAGCACGTATCTGTGGCGAGAGCAGCTCCAGAAATCGAGACTGTGCAGCACCGTACGCCCCACCGGCCTTAAATTTGGCCGTTACTGCGGGATCGTTGATCGCCCCCGAGCCCGCTAGCTGGGCGGCGCGGCTGGTGTAGACGGTACCGGCGATGGCGACACCCCACATGACGCCAAAGCTGCGCATGAAGCCAAACGTGGCCGTCGCCAGCGCGGTGTCCTTGTCAGTCAGTGGTGCGAGCAGCGCCGGGAGCATGGCTGCAATGCCAGCGCCTGCGCCAAAGGACTCGACTATCTGGAAGCCCACCCAGACACCCGTGCTTGAGTTCTCGTCCAGGAGCGTGAATATACCGAAGCCGATAGCGACAGTGGCAAAGCAAAAGACAAGAATGGGCTTGTAGCGACCAAACTTGCTGAGAAGCAAGCCGCCTATGATGGCGCCTGGGAGAAGTGCCAGGATGGTGGGGAGAAGGTAGATGCCTGCTCTGTAGGCAGATACGCCGAGAACACCTTGGAAGTACACTGGGAGGAAGTAGAGCACCCACATGGTAGCGATGCCGTGCAGAAATGTGATGAGAAAGACAGCAGAACTGATGGAGTTGTTAAAGAGGTGAAGGGGCATGATGGGATTGGGCGTAAGACGCTCGTTACCTTGGATAACAACAAATGCGCTCATCGTGGCCAGGCCAACCAGAAGCGGCACCAGGACCTGATATGACGACCACGAGTGTTGGCCTCCCGCCCAGCCAAGGGCAATTAGCACTGGCACAGAGCCGCCGATGAAGAGGAAGTTGCCCAGCCAGTCCAGGCTTGAGAACTTGGTGGCCCACGTCTGAGATTTGTCATACTTGACTTTCAAAAAGGCAAAAAGAAGCACAACGGCAACACCACCAATAGGTAGACTCATGTAGAAGGCCCAGCGCCAGGTGCTGTAGCTGACGAGCAGGCCGCCAAAGAGAGGCCCGAGAACGGCTCCAATGCCGACCATACCAAGCACGGCACCCATATAGGTGCCTCTGTCGCGGAGTGGCACAAGGTCGCAGATGACAATCTCGCAAAGAACGCCGATGCCTGCGCCTCCGACGCCTTGTAACGCTCGACCGGCAATCATGGCAGCCATACTGTTGGCTCTGCACATCTTCCTCGTTAGTAAGAGTTTTAGGCTCCATGGAATGGGAACAATTCACCCTCCACAAACACCGCTTCCAATCATAAAGACAACCCCAGATAAAATCAGCGGCCATCGGCGCCCGAATACATTTGCAAGCTGACCAAACATGGGCATAAGAGAAGTCCTGCAAGACAAATGGCCCACGGTCGGTTAGGCACAAACCGGGCGGAAACTGTGGCTCAAGTCTGAGCAGTTTGGGGAAGACTTACATGGTCAGAAAGTATGCGTTGGAAACCCATATAAACAGTTCTCCACCACCCAAATCGTCAACGACAGATGGCATGATTGTCGATGTAACTGTGCCTTCCAGTGTTGTGAGGAGGCTGATGATGGCGAGGACGACAATGATGGCCCAGAACCTTGGCCCCCTCTCAAATCTTGGTGAATTCTGCGGCGTCGCTCCATCCGGCGAATCATTTGAAGTCTCTTTAGACTTTGTAGTCGAGGCGACTACATTATGTTCTGTCATGGTGCGCAACGGATTAATCGTCGGGTCGAAGCAGCATGAGGCGCAAGTGCTAGGCCAGCCTGGAACTCTCTTGCACTTGACGGGGGTCTCGAAAATATTCTAGTCGCAATTAAGTGGCATCAATCGAGAACATTTGCTCTTTTAAAGGCGAATGGAGTCTAGAAGCCATGGTGGCGTGGTTTGAGGCCGCGGAAGGTTTTCGTGTTCCAACGCGGCCGTCTTCATCAGAGATCAGGCTGCGAAAATGATACGCCACTGCTGATGCTAGTTCTTCTTGAAGGTAAATCAAATGATGCCGTTCGAACTCGACTCAAATTTCGATTTGTTGACCAGGTCGAGCGGCACGTCCCATCTGTCTGCCAATCGTGACATGTTTGATGTGTTTGACCATTAAAAGACCGTCACCTTGCTGACCCCCGCAACATGCCAGGACGTAATTGTTGGTTCGAAGATCGATAGTAGAATGACCAGCAAAGCAGGACGGAAAGGGGCTCGTTATTTTTGCTGATTGGTTGAGCAAAAAACTCCGAGGAGGGTTTTCTGTTTGTGCTGTATTGATATGTGGGGCGGCTTCATAATGTCGCGAGCGAGGCTCCTGACTCCTCGGAGACTTATTTTATGCATCGCCCATCACTGATCAAGTCTTGGTCAGGGACTGGCCATTTATCCTTACAACATGACACTGGATACTCGTTCATCTTTCTTTAAGCTATCAACAACGTAGCTCAACCCCGCGCGTCATCGCTTGTCTATCCTTACCGAACAACCGGAGGTCTTCTCCTTTATTTCTTTGCAAGAACATAATCAACCAATGCTGAAGCCTGCAGTCCGGCGCTCCGCCTGCGACCAGTGCAGAGCAAAGCGAGTTCGATGTCTTCGCGCCCAAGACAGCATGGCGCCGTGCGCGCGCTGCTGCTATATGAGCACATCATGCGTCACAAGCGTCTCTCGCCGTCCAGGGAGACCACCCAAGCAGACTTGCGCTGATGTCGATGGCACCTCAAGCTCTCGAAACACCGCAACGAGCTCGAACTCCTCGCCTGCTTCCTACAGCTCGCCGATGGCGCGAGAAATGCCTCACGATGAGATTATTGCATTTACGCCTAAAAGAGCGTCAGCGTGCAGTCCCGTCAGACACATGTCTAGAGATGCATTGCACAGTATCGTAGCGCCGCATCCTGGCATTGCCAAGTCTTCCGCATACTCTCATCTGTCAAAAGACTTTTTGTCTCATGAGTCACAGCCAGAATTCTGGGCCGCCTTGGGGGACAGTGACCCTTTCTTCGGCTCACATTCCATCCAGCAAAGTCCTACGCCGGCCCAAGATATGATCCCGTGGTTACTCGGTCCGGATACGCAACCGGGCTGCTCAGATTATGTTGACGAGACGGCTAGCCCTGCTCTCGATATCGATGTTGATCCACTCCTTGATAGTGAGGAAGGTCTTCTGCCCCTGGCGCGCCCTGAACAAAGTTCTAGCAGCAGTGCACCGAGCTCTCTGATAGGGTTCCGAGAGGACATGGATCGGCGCATTGCCATGGTTGACATTTATTATTCAGAGCCCTCAAAAGTCATGCAGCGCTGCAGAGATGATGACCTGGGCCGAGATGTCAAAAATCCGGCAGCAGCACTTCTTACGTGCTGCAAAACACTTGTCGACAATATCCAGAGCTTACTGCCGCCAGATTACTTGTGCACAAAGACCGAAGATGGACTTGATACCGAAACCCTGCTCTTGATTATGTCGTGCTACCTTGCGATGATGAGACTGTTTGACTCTGTCTTCCACCGCATCTACAAACACCTATGCCAGGTGTCACCGCAGTCGTACTTGCCCAGCAAGGTCAAATCGGTGATTCGAATCGGGGGACTCTCCTCGCTACAGGACATGCCGCTAAAGACGTACGCAGTAGGCGTTCTCGATGCCATTCAGTGCCAAGTGCAAACCCTAGAGCGGCTCATGGGGATTCCGACCGAATACTGCCTTGCGGGCGAGGCGGCTCCCTCATCCACAACGGCTTCGGGAATATTCTCCCGTGTAGATCGTGCACGATTATTCTGGATCGTTATGACCCAAGAGGATGTTAAATCACGGCGGGGACCCAAGTCATACGTACAATCCATACGAACCAGCATGAAGGAGTCACTGGCATTTCTCGATGACTAGGTAGAATTTGGCTTCTCTGGTCACTATACCTACTGCCTGATCGAGCAAGGGATATGGATATAAGGAAAGAATAGCGGTAGAGAATTGAAGCATCAATTCCCGTACAATCTGCCTCAGACGACAGCAGCCGCCTTTTTGGTCACATCAGAATCGTATTCATCAATCAACTTGACTTTTCCCGCCGACGCCGATTTCCGAAAAAGAAAAAAAAACAAAGAGGTATGAGTTTCTGTCTCCAGTCAGTCGACAGGCCACGACAACTCACCAGACCAAAAGTATATCCTAACCATTCCTTTCAAAAGTATATCCTGACCATTCCTTGACGAGTCTTCTCGCCAGCTCAACGCCAATAGCCCTCTGCCCTACACACGGCACCTGCGCATTGTTGCTCAAGACAGACCTCTCGACCGAGAAGCTGTCGTGGGTCTGTGATGGTGCACACGCCTGCCACTTTACTGGCGGCAATCGCCACGCCGAGCCCGGTGCCGCAGATTAAAATGGCCCTGTCGGCGGTGCCGTCGGCGACCGCTTCGGCGGCGGCAATGGCAAAGGTCGAGTAGGCCGTCTTGTCTAGTTCAGTTTTGAGGCCTACGTGGATGACTTTTGCAACACGTGTGTCTGATGCTAGGTCGTGAGAGATGATGGATTGGTAGGAGAAGCCGGCGTCGTCACCGCCAATGACAATGCGAAGCTGTGAGCTCATTGTGGCAAAGGCTGGGTTCGTTGCTGAAGATTGTGTGGGTGCGATTGGTGCGTTGTGTGAGTATCAATGCGAGCATCGTGTGGCAAACAACAAATTCGGAAGTAGCTCTCACTTCGATGAAACTATGTATTCTTTTTTTTTTTTTTCTTTTTTGGAAATTCGGGTTCATATGTTGATCAGCAGCCCATTATTCCGGCGTGGCGTCTTGAGCGTTGAACGATCTTCGAGGTGTTGTGCCTCGAGACGCGGTCGCTTTCTTCGCGTGGGTGGTTGCCAGGTCTCGTAGCGTCATCTTGCCAGTGAAAGCTGCGAAGTTGGAGCCGCACGTCGGAGCTCGATGAAACGCTAATACATGCTCTATTAATGGTACGGAAATACTTACTGAAAGTCACGCGAATATGAGGCCGGCCCTTCCTAAATTTTCTCACACCAGTCGAGCATCTCGTGAACCCGATACGACAGCATGACTGCTTGGGATCCGACCAAGAACAAGACATACCAGATTCTCAAAGACGCCGAGGAAAAAGGCTATGGCGTCGTCGCTCCCATCACTTATAATATCGAACACATCATAGCCTTTATCCAGGCCGCCGAAGCGAAGCGCAGTCCTCTCATCCTACAAGTATTTCCATGGGCCATTACCTTTTCGTCCGGACTCCTTGTGATTGCGGCGGCCCACGCCGCAAAATGTGCTTCTGTCCCGGTCGCTATTCATCTCGACCATGCGCAGGATGAGGTTCTCATCCGACAGGCGGCGGACACGCTCCCGTTTGACAGTATCATGGTGGACATGAGCCACTACGAGATGGACGAGAACCTGGCCAAGACGGCAGAGCTTGTCCGGTACTGCCACGAGCGCGGAATCGCTACGGAGGCGGAGCCGGGCAGGATCGAAGGAGGCGAGGATGGCATTGCAAGTACCGAGGACCTCGAGGGCGCATTGACGACCGAGGAGCAGATTGAGGAGTTTGTCGCAACGGGGATTGATTTCCTTGCGCCGGCGTTTGGCAATGTCCACGGAGAGTATGGGCCACGCGGGCCAGAGCTGCAGTTTGACAGGTGAATTTTTTTTTTCTCCGATACTGCCCGCCTGGCACAGTCGATGTGCTGTTACTGACTGAAGCCGTATTGATGTAGATTAAAGATGATTCGGGACAAGGTAGATGGCAGAGTGCGCGTCGTGCTTCACGGAACCAACGACTTTCCACAAGACATGATGCAAAGATGCATCAGCGAGGGAGTATCTAAAATCAACGTCAACAAACTGGTACTAGATGACTATTTGATTCATCTGAAGACGAAGGCGCCTATGCTCAATTTGACAACGTCGATGGAACAAGGTGTCATGGCGGTACGAGGCTTAATGGAGTGGCAAATGGACGTCTGCAAGTCGACGGGAATGGCCCCGTAAAATGTGTAGATCAATCAGTCAATTCAAAAAGCTTCTGTCATGAGAAGTCTTTTTACTTTGCCGTGCCCGCCCCTTCTCTCGCACCACTGAAGAGGGTGCTCCCGACCAAAACCGGCAAGTCACTTATTCCGTCATGTACTTGCTCATCAAAAGAAACCCGAGAAGGTACATTGCACCGATCTGCCGGTTTTTGTCAGAAGTACCCTCTTGAGGTTAAGAGAGAGGGGGCGAGCACGGCTAGTCATCGCGCGTGCTGTTGTAATCATCCGCGTCTACTCTCTCCCAGTCCTTGTGCAGGTCTTTTCTCCACATGGCCATTGGCGGCCAACAGACACGAGCTTCACATTCTTCCATCAAGGATATAATCTTGGCCCTCTGTTCCCCGTCAGTAACACACAGTCCAGCGCCATACAGGCACTGCGCAGAGAGAATCTGGCAGCTCTCATCCTTGAGCTGCAGCGCGATGCCGCATATCGTGTTGACCGCCTCGGACAGCGTCCGTTGCATCTTCAAGTATCCATGAAAGCCCGTCGAAAGTGTTTCTACAGTGTGCAGTGTGAGCAGGATCTGCGCAAAGCTGTACGCCTGCAGCGCCGCGCCGAACCGAGGTGGATGAATCCAGAGCGGGGAAAAGACCTGGCCAGCAGCAGCTTTGGGCGTCGGTAGCACCTTGTAGCCTTCACCGAGGTGAGCTTTCCATTGCTCCATCATCGATACCAGTGTGCTTCTTTGCTTAGTTAGCTTTGTCTTGTCGACGGGATTGTGCGACGTTGCGGCTTGGACACTAGCACGATAGTTGATGGCCTGGGATAGGATGTAGATGGCCATGTCAGCCAGCTCGTTCTGATCAAGCTCGTGAATTGCTTTCTTCGGCACCCAGAAGCTGAGACAGGCTCGCGACTCGCGAAAAGCCGCCCACACGTCCTGCCGGAGCCAAGCCCACCAAACCGACTGGCGCAGACCCCCACAGCCACCATCCACATCTTGGGATCTCTGAATCCAGAAGATTCCCTTTAAATGCCGCTGCCAGTTACCAGAGCCATCCGACTCGTCGAGCATTTCGTACACGGAAATTATGAGCGCAGTGGCCAGGAGCTCTTCGGAATGAGAGTAGCTAGGGTACTTGAGAGTTTCGCGCACGTATTGCAGAGTCTCGTAGTAATACCGGATCCATTCTCCATCTTCGTAGTCGCCATCAATATCTCTGCGTAGCTGGCGGGCGGCAGCGTCGATACCGCTGCATTGGTGCTTCGAGGACAAGGCCAGAATCGCCTTCATCAAACCCGCATTTCGAATCGCCAGACGGATCGCATAGCTGGAGAAGAGCTTATGCGGGTCAAACAGGTCGAGCCACGAAGCACATCGATCAGCGAAATAGCGAAACAGCATAGCCTCGTGCGCAGAGAGTATCACATCTCCGCCCGATTGCCACGCAGTCCGCTCCAACTCGGGATCCAAATTCTCTGGTAATTGGGCCTGGCCATTCAACAGTGCAGGTGAAACATGCACAAAGACAGAAGTCGTTTGCGGCGGCTGCTGCTCTGCACCTCGCGTTTGCTCACCACCTCGTGTTTGCTCATCTGGTGGCAGAAGACCCGTAGCCAATGGGTGATTGCTGTCTGCCTGTAATGCATCGCTGGCTAGCAGATCCAACCAGCGAATGGATGCAAAGTTTGCCGACCAGGTCCCGGATGCTATAGACCGCGGCGAACAAATAAAGGCCTGTTCGTGTTCGCACTGCACCGTCAACTGCTCCTCGCCGGTTGGCGGCACGGCCTGGCTGCCGTAGCTGTTGGCCACCACATCCGGCTGCTGCGTCGCGGCTGGTATCGGCGACGAGGCGGCTTGCTCGTGGCGCGACTCAGTCTGCCGATAATTTCCACCGCTGACCCCAGACGCCAAAGTCGATGCGGCATCCGAATTCTGGGGAAACAGGCAACGACGATCCGAAATGGAGCAGGGACCACACACTGGTCGCTTTTCGTCGCACTTCTTGTGCCGTTTCCGGCACGTCAAGCTAATATGCCACTTTTTTGTCAGCATCGACGCGCGACGATGCTGTGGTTTACGTACCAGCCGGTGGTGGTTCTGAGCCCCGTGCCGCGCGACTTGCGAGCACGTTTTCGCGCTCCCTCGCCCGTATTCATGGGGTGTGATATGGGGCAAGTTGACGATGGCAAAGGATGAGAAAGTTGTTGTCATGAAGGGGGGCGTCTCGCGGATGACGCGTAAGATATAGTTAGCGTCTCGGGGACAAGCAAGGGGAAATTGACTGCAACTTGAAAAGCAGCTCAATTAGCAACCAGCGAGCAAGTCAATTGCTACCCTGGCTTGCGCCCGCGTTTTGGACTCTTCAGCTTTATTTACTGATCCCCAGCAACGCCACCCGTGGCTGGGTGTGTGGCGTGACCGCGTCTCGCGGCACAAGCCAACCCTTACATTCTCAAGTTTGCCCGACATCAACCATACCAGCTCGGAATGCGTCGAGCGCTTCGGCGCTGTTGTTTACCGCATCATGGACCAATTTAATCCCATGACGAGAATGCACTCGAAAGCTCTCCGTATCTTACCTTCTCTCTACGCCACCACTTTCTACAATGTCGACTAGGCACTATTTTCCCGACACGGCGGCAAACACGTTGGTGCCGTGCGCCCTTCGTGCGCTGACTAAAGCAAACCCTCATCTGTTTCTAGATGAAGCGCGGCGTGTCGTCTCGAATGTTCACCATGACCAGTCGCAAGTGAGCGTTGTCGGTGGCGGCGGCTCCGGCCACGAGCCAGCATGGAGCGGCTACGTTGGCAGTGGACTGCTTTCGGCCGCGGCTTGTGGTGACATTTTCGCTTCGCCGAGCGCGAGCCAGGTTCTCGCTGCAATGGAAGCAGTCCCGTCAGAAAAAGGCACGATACTGTTGATTACCAATTACACTGGTGACCGCCTGCATTTTGGACTGGCTGCTGAGAAAGCCAGGGCCAAGGTTGTCGCGTCTGGCCAACACAGCAATGCAAAAATTGCTATTGTCGCGGCAACGGACGATGTATCTATTGGAAGGAGTAAATGTGCTCGAGTTGGCAGAAGAGGCCTGCCAGGCCATGTATTCAGTAAGTTAATGCCTGCTGCTCTTCTACAACTTGGTGTGTGCTGACGTCTGATTCAGCTATGAAGATAGTGTGCTCTGCAGCCGCCGAAAATTGGCCCTTTGATGACTGCGTGTGTCTCGCCGAAGCTGTCAACGCCCAGACCGTATCCATTGGCTCAGCTCTAGATCACTGTCATGTTCCTGGACGACAACATCAGTCGGTCGCAGAAGACACTTGCATCATTGGCGCAGGAATCCACAACGAGCCTGGACGACGTATGCTGACACCATTTCCACCCGTTGCCGAGATTATCAAGGAATGTCTTGGTCTTCTGTGTGATCAAGATGACCCCGAAAGAGGATTCGTCCAGTTTGATAGCAGTGATGAGGTCGTCATGCTGATCAACAACTACGGAGGCCTGTCGATCCTAGAACTCGGCGCGCTGACAGACAAAGTGCAGAACCAGCTTGCGGAGCGGTACAGCCTCAAGCCTTGCCGTACAATGGTTGGCGCATTCGAGACATCGCTTAATGCCCCAGGGTTTTCCATCTCTCTGGCCAATCTGTCCGCTGCTGCCAGACAGTGCGACAGCACAGCTTCAAAACTCCTGGAGTTGCTTGATCGACCGACCGCGGCTGTCTCGTGGCCCAACATTACCACTGTCGCGATTGATACCGCTTCAATTGGCAAGGACAGTACAAATGGGATGTGTGACAAGCATGGCCACCAAGCAAAAGGAAACGAGATCGAGTCCATCGACCACACATACCTATCGAACGGGGATTTTCCTGTCGACGCGGCATTGCTGGAGAGGGCCATTCGGTCAGCATGCGACGCAGCAATTTCGGCGGAGCCGGATCTTACAAGATGGGATATGGTCATGGGCGACGGGGACTGCGGCGAGGCCGTCAAAGACCTCTGCGAATCAGTGCTCTGTCTTGTCGACAGTGGTGCCGCATCTCAAGGGTCGCTGCTCGATTTTCTCGGAATTCTCATGGAGACTGTCGACAAAATGGGTGGCACACTCGGAGCCATTTTCGGCATTTTTCTGTCTGCATTCTACTCAGCCCTCGCGCAACATGTATCTGGTTCGCTCGCACCGACTCGAGAGGACGCTCACAGCTTGTCCAAGGCGGTGGCGCTTGCTGTCGAGAGCCTGCAGAGCCACACGCCAGCTCGTGAAGGCGACCGAACCGTGATGGATGTCTTTATTCCCTTTGCCAACACGTACGCGCAAGAGGGAGACTTTGCAAATGCGGTCAAGGTTGCGGGCGACAAGGCCCTCGCGACGCGCTTCATCAAGCCTAGTCTGGGAAGAGCGAGCTACGTAGGTGACGCGGCTACGAGAGAGCTTCCTGACCCCGGAGCGTGGGCTCTGTATGAAATGCTTTGGGGAATTGCGCATGGGCTCGGCATGAATGTGCCCCGAGTGAACAGTGGTGTCTACGACGAAACTAGACATAATGCGCACACTTAAGGGTTCCTATGATTGGTCTTAATAGGCTACATTCAAATCCAGCACAGCAGGACTGACTACCAATTGTGGCCTAATGGAGAAGTGAGGCGCAGATCCTGCATACGATCACGTTACCTCTAGCTGAGCCATCCTTCATGCTACCCCGCGCAAAAGTACAGAATCCTATTACACTAATGGCAAAACAATTTTGAGAAATGTCAAGAAATCTGACTGCCACGAAGAATGTTCTGAAATGTTACCCGAGGCCAGCGGTCAAGATCCTGCGGCGACGTCGCTCAGCAGGTAGGTAGAAGGGACCTTTGTTGATAATAGCTACTTACACGCATCATGTAGGCAAGATGAGATCGATCGGGCGCAGATGGCCAGTCCACACATGAAAGAAATGTTACAAATTCTCGAAAAGAACAAGCAAAGCTTCATCGCGAATGTCGAGCGCAGGATCAGGCAGAGGTTCGAAAGGCTTGACGCCCACAGATGTCTTGCCCTGGTGGAGATTGAGGAGACTCGTGAGGCCGACGGGTCTGTTACGGCACAACGCCTTGAGTCTTACCCAGTTAGCATTTCTGTAGACTTCTGGGCTCACCTCAGTGCTTTTATTCGGCAACGCGTCACCAACCAGCAACAAGTGCCTGTGAGAAGATGGATTGACTCGGCTCATACGGTGTACGTAGAAGAGCTGCTCCACCACCAATTTGTCATTCTACTGAATCAATGTCGCGCCGATATGGCGGCTTTCTATTTGCAGCTACACCAAGAAGTCGCCTCAAAACGGGTACAGATGTGCTCTCATGCGCGGGAGCGGCTGCAATCGAGAGAGACGCCATTGACTACGCCGGAGCTTGCAGATTTGGGCTACTTGGACGACGAAGAGATATTGAACGACGTCTTGCGGCTTGCTCGCGAAAGCGAAAGCGAAAACGAAGGGGCAAATTACGCGCGAGCTCTGGAGTTTGTCCAACCACGTCTGCCTCAACCCAGGTTTGAGTGGCAGACTGTGCCGCTTGATCCTCACGTCACACGACGTACCACGTGGCGGGTGATAGAGGAAAGTGACCGAGTTTTTTTACCAAGACTTGAAAGATCAAACTTGAGCACTATTGCAAGATCAATTGCCATCAATCAGGTTAAACTGTTCCTGCTCGAGGTGCTTGGTATAACGAATGAGGACATTTCAACGAGTCGGCTCCCAGAGCCCGCCATGTTGGCAAAGTTGGCCTCGCTGCTCGAGGTTTCGTCACTTGCGGACACGCTCGGTGAAAAACTGGCCACGGCCTTGGCCAACGAACTGCAAGCATCTTTTACAGACCAAAACGAAAAACTCTTAAAGGACTTTGTGCTGAGAGAAGATGACATTCTGCAGCCTCTGGTCAATGTGCTCGTCTCGTCCGTCGACGGGGCCGAAATCGCCAACCGCGTATCACTACAGGCCAGAAAAGTCCTAGCAACAAAGAATCACTCAGAAGTCACACGCAGCATGGAGCAAGGATTTCATCGGATATCAAGCGGAAGATACTCCTGGCTAAAGGAGCTCCAAAAGCTGCGTATCAGCAACGACGACATGGCGGGGCTTTTGCTGGATGAACATGAAGCCTGTCCATGGGTATACTACACCGAAGTGCATTCAGATGAGGTGCAAACATTTGAGAGACCTCTACTTGATCATCATCTCAATGGATGTGCTCATTCTCTACTTGAGACGGGAGAGACAGGCCTTGGCTCCAGATTGCGAGTCGCCGCGATTTCCAACACTAGTTCTCCTGCTTCCTTCCAAGACATTGAGATGATTACAAATCTGCACAAACTCTGTGGTCTAGCTGGTTTTCTCCCAGCTTCACGAAAGGTAGAAACGTGGGATAACTTTGTTGTATTTGAAGAGGAAGAAGTCGAGGTTGCCCGCGTTTCTTTCAATGACCTCGATTACTCCGGTGTCCTGGGGCGTACTATCGCAACCCTGGGAGGGTTATGCACCGCTTTCGAGAAGGCGCAGCATCTTGGTCTCTGCTGCAACTCCTATACAGTGTTTTGCAGACAGAGGGAGTATAGCCACCCAAATATCGAGGCATTTCGAATCCAAATCAGTGTCGCTTGGCAGCTGCTAGAATCTCTGAGGTCTGTATTGGAGACGCCAGAGTCTTGGGATCAGACGGCATCTTCTATGTTGCGCGATCATAGTCCGCTACACTCTGCTCTGCAACCGCTTCTGTACCGTCCCTCGTCGACATTGTTTTACAGAGATGCCCATGCAACGACGAGAAAGAACTGGCTGCATTTTTGCTCACTGGCTGCGCAATTTCTCTCTCTAGCGTTTTTATCATATACCCAAGCACACAAAGACGAGCTGTTCCCTTTGTTCATTGCGAAGCCCCTTGGACGAGTTGTGCTCTGCGGTGCTCGTATGTTCGGCGGACAGAAAATTGAGATGGCAACAAGACCATTAACTTGCATCGGTGATATGCTGGGTACTTCTGTTATTAGCTTCCGACTTCTTTCCTTTTATTCACTAAGAAGAGACGATATCGGTCCAAATCGTTGGCGAAAACTTGACATTTATGCGAATCTCGCAGACATTGTCGACACCTGGGGTCCAGCAGAGCTGCTCTGCGCATCCAGTGATCAGGGGCCTTTTGCGATGAGGATTGGTGGCGGAATACTATACACAGAAGATGATCATGAAAATCAATATCACTGGAGCGAGTCTGTTGACCTGGATAAAGTCTCGCAAAGGGAAATGGACCTGGTGGGGAAGTTGTTGATTGGTGCAGTACATGTGAATAGCGGTTGTCAGTCTGATTATGGAGCTCTCCGAAGACGCACTCGTCTACGAACTCTAAGAACACAAGAGCAGAGCCATCGCTTGGTCTTTGAAACCTTTGGTTTCAGCTTGGCGCAGCTCTTTTCCGTGGTGGTGCAGGCGTCCGTCAAGCACAGCGCCGGTGTATCGCACAAAAAGGCCGATCGAGAGACGGCGCAACACCACGTCATGTCTTTGCTTGACTATTGGTCCGCAGTGCAGGTCAGCTACTGTACGGGAATCTGTCAACGAGTCCGGTTTCGCGACATGGTGGCCGACCTACTTTGTGAGTTCGGACCTGAGAGGGTCCATAGCGTTGCCGATGCCACGGCCTGGAGGCAACTGCTCGCCACGGACATTGTGGGCCGTCTCAAAGGCGATGGTGATGTGATAATTGACGACCCGGTGCACCAAGAACTGTTGAAAGTCAAGGTAAAGGAGATGTATGGTTACCTCTTTCATTCCGGCATCAACGACGACAGGACGCTCCGGGTGGCGTGGCCGAGCCTTAAGGACCGCCACGCGTACTGCCCTGTCCACTGCAGCGGCACTAACGCGTGGGCCAATTTACTGTCCGAGTCGACGCATATTTCGTCTTATGCGTACATTGCACCGCACTGCCTGCAGGCGGGTAGAGGCAGCGCATGTCAGAGCGGCTGGGAGCCGGCCACCGGACTGAGCCAAGTGCGTGCCTTTGCTACCAGGGTCCAGTGTGTGAATGCAGTGAAATCTGTTGCCGAGTTGCCTCATGAGTCTATTTGCTTCTTTCAGCTCATGCGCATAATAGTCTTTGCACAGGTGCATCATCCGGACGGCGAGCCGGTCCTGTTGCGCGTGATCCTGCACACGGTCCGGGCCAGCGTGGTCCGAAGATTGATTGCCATCTGGCATCGGACAGGCACGACGATAACGCAAGTACAAGAAAGTAGAGATGGAGCGACACGGGCTGAAGAAGTGCTGATTGTGTGCGGGTGGGATCCTTGAAGCTGCAAAAAAATGGAGATGAAGTTGAAGACGGGGACATGGACTTGGACATGGCCCAGGATTATAAGGTCAAGAAGCCACGAGTTGCAACGCGCGAAAGACGTGTACGGTCTGCAATAAGACTAGACATGATTCAGGCACTTTTAAACTATCGTGAAGATGGAAGAGGAAGAAAATCCAAGTTAAAATTAAAAGTTTCATTCAGCTATGTTCTTGTTGTAATATTGACTGTTGTAGCACATTAAAGAAGATTGGCACATTACCCGACGGGCTGCCCTTTCGCATTTGCGTAACACTAATGGGAAAACCCCCGAGGGAAAACCACGAGTAAAGAGCAGAACAAAAAGAGGGAAAGCCAAAACCAAGACTTGTCCCGCCGAATAGTCACACGAGCCCCTATAGTAGCCGGAAGGGCAACTCGGTGACGGCCTATATGAGGGGGAGAGTTGCATTTCCCTTTATTCGCCCTTTAAATGCCTGACTGGGCATCCTCGAGCCACGGAGGAGGCGCTGTGGCGCTAAAGGGACCCTTGCTGGTCTTGGCAAAGAACTCTTTGGGGAAGCTCTCGGCCAGAATAGGCATGAGGCCGCGCGAGTCGCGAATCATCTTGACCTGGGCCGCCACGCTCGAACCGGAGCTGCCGTAGCCGGGCTGGCTGACAAAGACGGCGCCGCAGTCAAGGAAGAAGTATTCTCGCTTTTGTCCCAGAACCACGCTGCTCACGTCGGAAGCATCGCCGGGGCTGAACACGGGAAAAGTGGCCGAGCCGTCGGCGGTGGTGTAGCTGGAGTTCTCGTCGAGATGGCAAGCCTCGTCGTACTCGACGGCGAGGCGGGCGGCGAGTATGCCCGCGGTGCTGCGGGGCATGTTTCGGAGCATCTGCTCGCCGCCGGCCCAGCACGACATGGCGGGCGTGGCGTCTTCGGGCTTGCCAATCACGTCAATGACGAACTTGCAGAGGCCCTCGCTTCGCCGGGGGATGGTCTTGATGACGGTGAACTGGCCCCGGATCGCCTGGGGGATACCTGGCGCCTCGGAGCGCTTGTCCAGGCTGCGAATGTCCAGGGCGAGGACGGCGGCCGCAAAGGGCACAACGAGAGAGAAGCGCATTATGGGCGACGACGGTAAGCAAGAGGTAGCTAATTTGTGCGCGGCGAAGAGAGTATGGTGTTCTCAGTCTGTTGTAGACGAATGTAGAACAAGAATGCAAGACAACGCAAGATGTTTTTTTATTCTTTTGCTGTCGGCAACGCTCTGCCTTTATATAGCAAAAGAGGCAATGGCCAAAGCTTCAAACACAGCATAATGTAACAGCTAATTGGCACTTGTGTGTTTTTTTTTTTTTTTTTCGTTTATTTATCCAGCACTACCGAAAAAACGTGTTATAGCTCAAGGCATATAGGTATAAATGGAATTATTCATTGCGTTTGGGGACCTTGTGATGTCTTTAGGCAGACGCTCTGAATCGTTCCTGCATGGCCGAGGAGGTTTCCTTGCGTTATCAATCTGACAGCTTTTTTTTCTGAACACGCCTTGTCCGGCGTGCCCGTTTCATGCAAAAATGACATCTCCGGATCATGCCGTATCTGTCGGGACGAGGGCCGTTCCCGAACAGCCTCCAAGCGATTCAGACTGCCACCGCTAGTGAGCCTCGTAGTGCGGCGTTGACGTGTAAGAGCCCGTCGAGGCCGATTACGCATGCACAGTGTGCTACCGTCTACGTCAGTCATAATAGATTGTAGTCAAGTGCCGTGATAATGTAGACTGCTATATGTATACATGCATGGCTGCCCCTGTCGCTTGTCCCCTCTGAAAGCCCTCCCCGCCATATTCCTTTGTGCGCGGAGCGCTTCCACTTGGCCACCCCCGCCAGGACGCTAACAAATTAGAGGGGTTCTGGTATAAGATACCTATGATAAGAGGAACTTGGCACCTAGAGTGAAGTATGTTGTCTCTCTATAAATACAACAAGCCAGTATAGTAACTACATTATAGAGTTACCGTAAGGCTCTACGAGCCAGTCGGAGTAATATAATATACATACATACATACAAACAAGCCAGTTGGTTAAGCGATGTCTTCCACCTGCCTGGTCAGCTATGCAGGGCTATATGCATGCTGCCATGCATGCTGCCATGCGTCGGCGACTCGGTGGTAGCGAACGCCACACTTGGTCTGATCTTGGCAATTGAGCTAGCGTTTGTTGAGCTCGGGGTTTTGCCATCTGATAACTCCTATACATTTGCCCGGGGCGCATCCTCATGGAAGGGACCTTGTTTAGTTCAAAGGCCCAGCCCGCAACAATTAAATAGGGATATTACGTATGCTATATAGCAACTTTTTTTTTACACCAAGAAGAAATTCCGAGTTTTTCCATCATTGCCTGATTTTGGATTGTGCACTAAAACAAAAAGAACCACGAGATCCACTCGCCTTCTCATTGGCCCGCAACCTTGTAAGTTGTCCAGCCGAGCGAGTCATGACGGCTTGCCTTGTTCTTGGCAGGGGCATTGTAATTTGTAGCTTAGCCGTGGTCGGCAAGAAGCGTTCGTTACCGCCGAGTCGCCGAACGCATGGCAGCATGCACATCCTCACCACCCCTGCAATCGTCAACCTGGCGCAAGTGCCGCGATTGCCCGGGTGCTAATAACTTTTTACAAATCATACATCTTTAATCATTGTTTTTTTTTTCAGCGCATTGCAGTGCGCAGCTGTGACTCGGAAGACAGTATCAACATTCCATGACCTGCTTAGATTTCATCTTTTCCCCTTGCGAGCCTTTCGTCTGCTCGCAATTGCGTCTATAGTAAACACCAGCATATCGCAGTTGTGCCACCGGCTCGGAGGAAACTGTAGGCCCCTGTAGATCATTTTTAACGGAATTGATTGGTTTTTCGAAAAGGCATTGGACTGTTGCCCTGAGAGATCAGCTGCCTATGTTTGCTTTCTCTTGATAGTGCCTTGGCTGTTGGGTTCTTAACACAGGAGCATGGGGATCCAGTAGCTCTGTCACTCTTTGTGCTAGTTCGATTACTCAAAAACAATCAAATTGTAATGTTGTACATTCTGCTCCCAGAAGCGGCGCTAGGTTCCTGGAGCTCGTGCAGGTGATTGATGCAAGGAACTGCATGTCTATTGGTTGTCAAGGGTAGGACACAAGTCATCCATCACTTGCTCAGAGAACTAAATCAGAAAAGAAAGCAAAAAGGTGTCTATATGTTATAATGAACCCATTTTAAGATGAACCTTAGCGAAATTTCTCTGGTCTCGTTCTTAGATGCTCGCGTGGAGAACTGCGTAAGCATTTTGTTCCTCTCGAAATGCTTATGCTCTGATTCATATATCAAGTTTTAATTCAATCTCGCGGTGTACATCACCGACTGCAAAGCTACTTAGCCCCATGTGAGGAGGGTTATTGTAGTACAATAGCTGACTAAGACAGCGTTGGGCCTCGTGGCCTAATGGCTAAGGCATCGGTTTCCGGCGACGGAGACTACCGGAGATTCCAGGTTCGAGTCCTGGCGGGGTCGTCCAACTTTTTTGCTCTAATTCTATCATGACTGGGCTTCATCAGCCTTGTTTCCTTTTTTTTTTCTTTGCTTGACTCCTCCCTCTTATGAGATGTCCTCTTTTATTTGCTCTTGCTCAATCTCATCCGTTTCAATCTTTTACGACGTCTCCCCAATTTATCTGGCTCGCGCTCAATAGAATCGAATTAGCTGGCCTCGACCAGTCACTATGCTAGTGGTATCAAAGAATTTCCAATCAATGCTTCGCAAATGCCAGTCACCTCCCATCAAATAAATCCTCCGTCCCAACGCGGTCTCAACATTTCAAGAATCATATACATATCTCACCACGCCTCTATTGCGCGTGTCCATAATACTCAACTATGTTTCCCTGCGCAGGCCGAACCGGCTGCTGCTGCTGCTGCTGCTGCTGCTGCTGCATAACGGGCGTCTGCGTCATGGCGGGCTGCTTCCCGACACCCGGCATCCCCGCGCCCGAATAGAAGGGCTGCTGCGGGTAGTGGTACGGCGCCGCGACGGGCACATACACGACTGTGTAGGGGTTGCGCAGGTGGTTGCGGAGGTATGTGTCGGCGCATGCCGCGACGAAGAGCACAAAAGCAAAGACAAAGACGATCCAGAGAAAGACGCAGGTGGCAATCATGGGTCCTTTGATGCCCTTTTGCACGCAGAAAGCACGATGCTCGTTGTCGTACGGGTCGTTGTGGTAGCCGCGGTAGCGGTCACTGTCCGACCGGCCATTGCCAGACGAGCTGCTGCCGTAGTCGCTGCTCGTGGGACGGCTACTGGAAGAGCTGCTCGTAGGCCGGCTACCGGAAGAGCGGCTGGTGGGTGGCCGGTAAGGATAGTACGGGTCCTCGTACGGATCGTCATCAGACCCCTTGAGGTAAGGATCGTATGGATCACGGTCGAGCGGCGAGGTGGTGGTTGTAGGAAGGCTACCGCGGATCCTTGTACTGGTAGGTACCATTGTGTTTATGCTGTTGTGCGTGGCTGTAGGAGTTGCAAGTAGGTTGGTGGATGTGGGAGCGTTGATTTGACGGACATGGACAGTAACGACAACAGCATCGACAGCGGGCACATGACGAAACGCGTAGACGTCTACGCCAACGGAGCGACGAATGTCGCCACCCCAGTAGTCGTTGCACTGCGCTAGGCTGATGATTGCAGAGGTGGTAAGGATGCCGCCGACAATCGCCAGGAGGATCCACGAAACGAGCCACACTCCGACGTGGGCACCCGGGTGCACGCCCTGGAGAAATCGGCGGCGCGGGCCGGTGAGAGCAAAGCACAAGTCGCTGACTGCCCAGACGATGGGGACCAGCAGGGCGCAGGCGCAGGCGGGAAAGACGATGCTGCTGGCCATGTAGTTGTCGCGGAACCGCACCATGGACAGGCCAATGGCGAAGCCGATAATGGAAAATACAATGATCAAGACGTTGAAGATGACCTTTGTCATGCGCCACGAACGGTCTTCGTGGTGGTTGGGGTCAATGTTTCCCGAGGCATCAGCAGCGGGCGGCGTGGCCTTGGCGACGTTGTAGGCTTGCGTGTCGACGCAGGCCATGATGAAGAGAGTCAATGTGTTGAGGCAGAGCAGGATGAGGATGACAAACTGGGCGATGGATAGCGGTCCCAAAGGGGTGTGGTCGTCTTCGTAATATCCGTCAACGATTGTCCAGTGGAGGACAATGGCAAACATGGCAATGAGGCCGGCGTATACGATCCAGCAGATGAGCCAGACACCCGCATGAACGGATGGGTGCAAACCCCGAGAAAACTTCAAGGACGCGCGCACGGCGGTCTCGGCAATGGCAAAGATGATGGTGAGGACGTAAATGGGCAGGGGAATGGCAAGAACTGCGTTTCCGTCGCTTAGATCGAAGGCGCCCGCGGCGGCAGCATGCCCGGACAGGCTGAGACCGACAACGGCAAGGAGAAAGGCGAGAATAATGAGGAGCATATGCTGGCCCTTCCAGGCGAAGAAGAAGGGGGGCTTTTTCTCAGTGTGCACGCCGTGTTGCTGCTCTGGGTCTGTGACAGCATTCACGACTGCAGCATCACGCTGAGGAGCCCCTGGCTGTGCAGCTTGGGCATGTTGCTGCTCGGGGCTCACAGGCTCAGCGCGATGAGGAACAGGCGTTGCCGCCTCGGTCGTCTGTGGCGAGACGGGCAAAGGCGGCAAGGGAGCGTCCAACGGGGATAAAGGTCTAGCGGCTGCGAGATCTGCGGAGGCACGATGGCCATTGTCTCGGACAGTGGGCACACGTTCAGCCGCCTCATGTGTTGGCGAGGTCATTGGCGCGAATTAGCCGTCTGCCTCCAAAAGAGTTTGAACTGTCTGGCGGCACAGTATCTTGGCGTAGATGTGGTCGGTTAGTTGGTGTTGGGTGTTGGGCGAAAGGGGGATCGTGTAAACGGGGGGGTATCGACCAAGTAGACGGCCAAGCAATTGCACCCAAACAAAAGTAAGAAAAGAAACAAGGGAAAAGCGACTGACTGGCCGAGACAGGCCCCGTGAACGAAAGACGGCGACGATGCTGGTGTCAAATTTTTCTTCCTCGCTTGCCCGTGCCCGTTTTCTGGGCAGAGGCAACAACCCGTGGGGAAAAAGGCGAGAATAAGGCTGACAGAGGAGAAATTAGGGTCGCGGGCCGTGGCTCCCAAAAAGGAAAGGCGCCATGCGACAACGGGGGGTGTTCTGATGGAAAGCTATTTCAACGACTGTTTTTTATTGGCGGCCAGGCACAGGCACAGGCAAATCGGCTGTTTTCACTGTTGACTTTCAGCTTTGCCAGTTTGGCGCTAGAGGCTCTAGTCGCCAATCGCGACTCTCCCCGCGCAACGCCACGCTTTAAAAGATGTGGTAATAATAGCAGTGTGCAGGGGCTCGAAAATTTTCTCATTATAAAGGCCCCTGGTCAACCAACATTTAGACCAGAATCATCCGCTTTTCAAGTCTGTGTTTCGTTAACAAAAAGGACGGCCGACTGACGATGCGGATCAAGACCTCTTGAGGCAACGATCTGGTCGTTCACCAGGTGGCCCACAGTATCGATCGTCCAGTCCGCTGACTTTAGGAGGTCCGCAACTCGAAATTAGACCTTATTAATGAGTAGTGCTACGTGGACCACCCATTTTTACTACGTGGACGAGCCTCACGTGACACTATAAGTGGGTTTATTAAAGGTACCTAGCTTTTAGTGTAATTTACATATAAATAGAAGTATCTTTTAAAAATCTAATATATTTAATTATTTTATATATCCATACTACTATAACCACTATAACCCCTCTATACCCTCCTCACCGCCGCTACTTAAGGCTTTTAATACTAGCTTATTTACTTAAAAAACGCATTTTTACTATTTTTAATAAATATATATATATTAGACCTAAATTAATAATTCTTCTATATTAATTCCTACTACTAACACTACTACTAGTATCACTAGTATTACTAGTATTACTAGCGCTGCTACTAGAAGCTCTTAACACTAGCTAATTTACTTAAAAAATATATTTTTATTACCTTTAAGAAATATATATATAGCTAGTTAAAAAAAGGGTTCTTTTATAGCTATAGTAGCCTTTAACTAACTAGTTTTATATATATTTTTATATAATATATACTTAAATATAATAGCTATATATTATATTATAAAGAGTATTATAATTATAGTAAATTTACTTATTTAGGTATATATTATAATACCTATAAAGGTATTAAGGTTTTATTTATTATCTATACTAAAAGTACCTTAATCTAACTATTTTAAGATAGCTAGGGCCTACTATAGAGGTTCTAGATAATATCTAGATTATATATTTAGTAAAGGGGTTCCTTAATATCTTATTATTAAATTAATATAATTTTTATATATAAAAAAAGCCCTTTTCTTATTAGAGGCTATTAAAGCTACTAATAGGTATATATTAAGTCTAGACTAACTATAATATCTTATTTAATATAGGTCTTTAGCTAGTATATATAAGGAAGCTTATATTAATAGGTAAAGTAATATATTAGCCTAGCTAAAGGTAGGCGCTAGTAAAGGTTATTTAGTTATTATATTAAAGCTAAGGCTTTATTATATTTAGTAATAATAATCTCTAATATTATTTAAGAGACTAATATAGTTAGCTTTTTAAGTTACTTATAATTAAATTTTTCTATCTAGTAATAGGCTATTATAGCTACTTTTTTATTATATTATTATTTTTTCTTTTTAACTATTTATACTAAGGCTATATAGAGTATAAAGAGATTACCTTAGCTACTAATAAGGTATAATTTAGTATCTTTATAGCTACTTTTATTAGGTAAATTTATTTATTAGCTAAAGTTATAATACTTATTAATTTAATGTTATACCTACTAGTTAATTATAAGAAAATACTAGTTAATTATATACTTTATAATATCTTTCTAGTAATAGAATTTAGTATATAAAGCCTACTAATTTTACTTAAAGTCTATACTTATTAGTATAAAAATAACCCTCTTCTAGGTAGTAAGTATATTAGTATAATTATAATTCTTATTAATATTAGCTTTATTAGGCTACTTAATTATAGTATTAACCTTATTACCTTCTTAGGTGGTAGGCTCTTCCTAGTTACTAGAAGAGCCCTTCTAGTATATATAAATTACTTACTAGGTATTAGTATTAATATAAAATATATAAAGTTATTATTAAACATCTAGCTATATTAAAGAAAATACTTTTTTAAGTATAACTTTATTATTTATAATAATAATATTAAGTTATTAAATACTAATACCTTATTAGAAGGATTTAAGTTTATTAGTTAACTACTTATAGCTATTAAGGGTCTTAGTATTAGTTAAGTCTTAGGCTAAATTAATAACTAAGTTTTAATCTATAATACTAATAACCTAGAAAAGGTATATCTTAAAGTAGTTTATTTTATATATATTATTATAGCTAATAACCTATAAAAATCTCTCCTATATTAACTTATACTAGGGGTAAGTCTAGAAAATTCTAACTAAATTAAAGCTATTAAAATTAACTATATAGTAGATATTATTTTCTTATAAAATTTATATTTATTATTATATTAGTATTAGGCTATTAAGGCTAGTAATTTATATCTTTTAATAGTTATTATATATATCTTTTTTAGTAAAAACTAGCTATTTATTAGTATAAGTATTATAGATAATTTAACTAACCTTATAAACTAGAAAAGCTTAATATTTAGTAAGGTTAATAAGAAGTTTTATTTAATTTTAAGTATACTTTTAATAAGTAATATAGGCATAAGGGGTTATAAAAGGAGGGTAGTTATAAGAGCTATCTTTAACCTTATAGGTTTAGAGGTTATTTAAAGCTAAATTTCTTCTTATAATAATATAAAAAGGGTAATCTATTTTTTATATTAAATACTTTTATAAGCTAGTACCTCTTATAGTATATTAGTAGCCTTTTTTATAAGTAATTATATAAGATATATTAAGGTAAGTATTATTAGGTTATTACTTTTTTAATATATAGTACTTAGTAATTATAGCGCTATTTTTATAATAGAATTATTATAATAAAGAAAATAATTTATTAAGAGTGTTAAATAGAGGTGGTGGTAATAGTGGTGATAGAATTAATATATATATAGTCTATAGTTATTATAATGATAAAGGAAGAAAAAGGGGAAATTTTAAGGTATTAGCGGCGGCGTGGTGTTAAAGTTAATAGCGGGGAAAACAAATTACCTAATTAGGCGGTTCTTTTTAGGTACTTTATTTAGTACATATAACGCTAATAAATTAAGGTACCTAAAAAGTACCGTAGCGTGGCAGATCACGTAAGGCTTATCTACGTAGTAAAAATGGGTAGTCCACGTAGCACTACTCTTATTAATTAGGGCCCAACAGTGCGCGAGTTTGGCCGTTTCAGGCTCGATGATGTAGCAATACCACACCAGTCTGAAATGCATCGCTTGGCGCGCATCATCTGCGAATCATTTCAGTCTCTGAATTGAGTAAAAAGACTTAAATTTTCAATAAAAATTTCTCTGGCGCAAGTGTATACCTTTACCTCTTTAGTCACCTTCAGGATGCTTCGATTTCGTCTAGATACGGCGAGGACAGACCAAGGGAAAGAGCATTGACGCTAGCAGCCTTCCACTTCCTGTTCAGCCTTTACTTAATGTCATGATACATTGTCTATCATCAGTCCTGTTGTACTTGGTTCAGAGAGAACCATTTCGCAATCAGGGTAAAACGATACAAGAAAAAAAAGTAGTCATGTTGGCAGGCACACCTCGGCTCGCTGACTCAGCCAGGACCCTCATCAGCCGCCACACCTTCTAGATAGCCTCTCTTCTCTTTCTCTCATACATACACACATTTCATCAGGTCTTTGCTTTAGCTCGTGCCTTGCTGTGTGATTCCGTCGCTCTCACTCTCTTTGATCCGCCACAAGTCAGGCGTGTCTCGACAGGTATCAATCGCATTTATGTCACTCGCCATCTCCGTGGAAATGGACTCAACTCACACTCGCTAGACAAGGAATGCAAAAGTGAAATGTTTTATAAGGCTATTCCACAAACTTGTCTAGGATATAGGGCTGCATCCACCACGTAGTATAGGGCTTCTGGTTTATAACAGTGTTTCTTCGTCAATCACCTTGTGTTTGCCGACAGTCCATTCAGCGATCCGCAGATGTCTATCTAACCGCACTAGGCGTTACACCTCCCTCAACCTACCTAGCCGGTGCGGTCAAGCCCTCACGCAGAGCGGTGAAACCTTGCATCATGATAAAGGCTGCTTTCGTTAGCAACAACTTAAACATGAATCGATGAGGCGGCTTACTCAGAGGAGCCAGTGCAACAAATCCCATGCAGTGCGCAGCCACAGATTCGATCCCTCCAATAAACATGGGATTGAGCCAGTAGAATGGGTAGCAGCCCGAGAGGTGGCCGCCAATTACACCCCAAATGAGATACAACACAGAGAATCCCGACAATCCGAGCATGTGTGTGATGAGATTCTACATCGATATTAGTCTTGCCAACCAGTGCCAATTAATTCGAGCTTCAATTATACCTGGGGCCGCTTGATGCTGTTGAAGAACATGGTCTCGATAAGCATGGAAACGGCGGGCATCGTGTACGTGCTGAAGATGGAAAACGATCGAAGCCAGCCGTGACCGAATAAGTCCGTGACTGCTAAATATTAGCGCCGAAGTATAAAGTACGGCAAAACATACATGGCCCTCCGATGGCTGTGGCATCTGGATTGTGTGGTCGCGTGACAAACCAATACGAGATGGCATTCATCAAAGAGAATACAGTCGTCGTCGAGAAAAACATATGAAATCGGGCTTGTTTTCGCGGATTGCCTAAGTCAGAAGGCAGAGACGTCGCGCGAACGAAAGCCGATGACATTCTGCCCTGGACTGAGTCTCTGTGTGGGTGGTACATGTGGTGAAACGTCCAGAGCTGACCTGTTAGTGTGAGCTTACAACCGGCAATCGTTACTTACAAATGTAATGATTTGGAAGACGAAATGGAGAACAAACGTCACTGTGCCAAAATGGAAGATGAGGAACCATATTGGATGATCGCGAAACTCTTTATACCGGTGGATGGCTGTCAAGATGCCACTGCTGCTCAACCAGGCCACGAGCATGCCACGGAGCTTGACGAGAACACGTTGAGGGATCCAATTCCATGGCGAATGCGTGACTCGAAGATGCGGGGGCTACACTGTCAGATTGGAGAGAAACCGGAATGAGAATACCATACATGATCATGCGTGACATTGGGTCCGGGGAGATGGCCAGCGAGAAGAGGTGTCGTGACTTTCGCCATGCTGGGCGGTCGTATAAGACGTAATGTTGTGAGAGAGAGTAGCACCAGGAGTTGGGGGGCGGCGACGGCGGTCTCTGGAAAAATCTCCGCAGCTGAGAGAAAAAAACAATGATGCCCGGAGAAGGATAAGAATAGCGAAGGAGAAAAAAGGAGAAAAAGGTCGTGATTGTCAGTCGTGTTTGTATTGGCAGCTGGCAGCTAGCAGCTGGCAGGTGCCGCACTCGCGAGTGACAGGAGCGCACCCGTCTTTGCATGCACGGTACAACATGTTATGCGATAGGTGGCGGTAGGTAATCAAGCCAGAGATTCTGGGGCTTGTGGATCCTTGAGTGGCCTGATTAGAATTTTCTCCTTCTTTTTGCTCTTCTAGATGCGTTCCGCCGATTCTCCCATCTCGTCCACTTCTCAGCTTCCATCGCAATGGCGGGGCTATCGAGGACAGGCACACCTGGTCCGTGCGCCCTTGTCCCAGTAGAGCACACCTTGTCCTGAAGACACCCTCGACTATACAAGCAACCGGAGCTCCCCACGCGTCGCAACCTCACCAATTCTTTGTCACTGCCCGATTCCGAACCAAAAAGTGCCCCAAACTTTTAGACTTCGGCCGAAAATATACCCATCATGCTCTCTAGCCTCGGAAGCCCGCGCCAAGCGGCTGCGCAGGTACTCAACTTTGCCCTGATTCTGTCCTCCGCGTTCATGGTATGCGATCCCCACACGAGCTCTCGCAGCACAAGGAAAAGCCGGAATAAAAGCTGACCTTGCATCTTGTAGATGTGGAAAGGTCTCTCCGTCATCAGTGACTCGCCCTCGCCGATTGTCGTCGTCCTCTCGGGCAGCATGGAGCCCGCCTTTCAGCGCGGCGACCTGCTACTCCTCTGGAACCGCAACCTGCTCACGGAAACGGCCGTCGGCGAGGTTGTCGTCTATAATGTAAAGGGCAAAGATATTCCCATTGTGCATCGTGTGGTGCGCAAGTTTGGTTCTGGGTACGTGCTGCTTCCAGGCTGCCACGACGACAGCACTAACGACTCTACAGAGACAAGGCACAGCTTCTCACCAAGGGCGACAACAATGCTGGCGACGACACCGAGCTATACGCCCGCGGGCAAGACTACCTCGAGCGACAGGATATAATTGGCAGCGTTGTTGGCTACGTCCCGTTTGTCGGCTACGTGACGATCATGCTGTCGGAGCACCCCTGGATGAAGACGGCTATGCTGGGCATAATGGGTCTTTTGGTCGTTTTACAAAGAGAATAACATGTTGAGTGGACGCGTGGAGTATTGCTTGGCGATGAAAAATATAGTTGGATTTTCTAGCGTGCATTTGCATCAATTCGCAGTCGCTGGTGGGCGCTTGCCGCTGCTGACGGACTTTGTTTCTCGGGGCTTGTCTGCGTGCTCATATCCCGACTATCTCTGAAATAGCTCAGACTCTTCGCATGGTGCCATGAGAGTCGCACGCTCCAGATCAGTTTCGAGACGTCGATGCCTCGGTTTGTGCTTTTGTTGCTCTTCTCCGGCGTGGCGGCCTATTGATGACCGGAGTATGCTGAACAAGACCCCTCGGATGCACACAACGATCGAAGACAGTCGTATTTGCGCCCTCGTCTCTGACGTTTCCTCACGCCCAAGTCCCTGCATTGTGTCGCTGATGTATGAGCAAGCCCCGCACGGTCTTGTAATCGCCAAGTATAAAAACTCATGTTGCAGACTCAGAAACGAGCCATAACATATACTGCGCTCGGAAAGACAAAAGCCGTCGCACTACCTATCTAGTGAGAGCAGCGCACAAACTTTTGGTATAATAAGCATAATTGCAACGAATCGAAGTACCCGCCCGTCAAACTCCATGTACAGCTCAGTTGAGGGCCGAAGCCGCTTTGAAGAAGATGGCAATTGAGGGATAGATGCTGAACTGGAAGACTATGGTACGCAGATAGCTCCGCGAGCGCCTCGCCGTCGTTACGTATAGAATATTGTACACGAGGCGACACGCGACGTGAATGACTGTATACCGCGTCATGTCCTCCTGTGGCAGCTTGGCCAGCGTTCCCAGAATCTAGTCGGAGAGGAATAAGTCAGCATCTCGCAATCCCACCCCTCACAACCAACTCGCGGGCAAAGACAAAAGAGAACAAGACTCACCACCGCGGCGGCCCAGACGGCCCACCACTCGAAGCCATTCTGCTGCGCCGCCTGCCCGCGCAGAATCAAGCCTTCAAGGTCTGTCAGCCGGTGGCCCGACGCGGCCTTGGAGTTGAGGCGCGCCGAAAAGGACCGTGGGCACTCGTTGGACCAGCCGCCCTGCACCTTGTTGACCTCGGCCTGGTAGATGCTGTACCAGTGGGGCAGCGCCGAGATGAGCAGCGTCAGCGGCAGTGAGCCAATGGCCAGGCTGGCCTCGCCGTTGAGAAAGGGCATGAGAAACGACATGGTTTTTTTTTCGGCGTGTGTGTGCGTGAGTGGAAACAACAAGGCCGGAGGACTGAAACGATCAGAGTAACAATGGATATTGAGGGGGGGGATGATTAGGATTTACGCTGGTGTTATTTCAGGTGTTGGCGCGGCTTCGGCTAGTCGCCTCTCGTATTGCTCGGCCGGATCCCCCACATCCGGCCGAGACGAGAGGGGAGCGTCGGCCCAATTACAGCTGGTTTCCTCCGCCGGCGAGGAGCAATACAACGATTGACACGTGAATTTTTCTTTGACTATTCTGGCTGAGTCTTGGACCGGCATGCCTCTGCTAGAGCTTTTCGTTTGATTGGAATTCTTGGTCATAGTTCATTGCGTTGCGGCAGTTCGCGTCCATGGATAAGAATCATTGGCTTGTACATTAGGTAGGTACTGGGCGGGCGCAATGAAGACGCAAATCGGTACCTGAACAGCAAGTTATGCGACAACATGATTTTTCTCTGTATCATCAACTACGTCATAGTAAACCTGAGCCCCCGGAAAGAGTGAATCCTTGTACTATGGAAAAGAAATATATTTTCTGTACGCTCTTGTACGGTTACAGAACGAGAGCGCTGTAACTTGTATCCAGGACAAAGGCTCCATGGTAGCCTCGTGCACTTAACTGGCCAACACCCACAGTGAGCGGCGGCTTTGTGCAAGAGAGCAACACAAAGAAAAGCGCTACAACGCTTGTCCGTGTTTCAAAGAATATCACAGGACTTTCCAACAAGACAGGAGTAACAAGAGTTTTGGAAAGTGACCGAGCGATACGTCAAAGCTGATATATCGCCTCGGGGAATAGATATAGGCACTGTGATTCACTTGCTTGACGGGACCAAAGCAGACCCCAAAAAATGACACAAAAGACGGTCATCATGTATGTTGTTCTATGCTGCTTTTCATCATAGTACGAGAGAATATCGCGACTATAAAAACTCGTCTTACTTTCCCTACCCACACAGCTTCAACCAGACAAGCAGTGCAGAGAAAATCAAACGACAGGACCAATCAGCAAACCCGAGGAAAGTAATCGGAAAAAAAAAAAAAGAACAGACAACATGCCTTACTTCAAGATGCCTGCTTACTTCAAGAAGCCTGATTACAGAGATTGGCCTGAAGAACAGCAGCTCCGCTGGTGTGATAATCAGATTCAGCTAATCGACGCGGCATTGGAGGCAGAGGACTACCTCACAGCCCTGCACTTTTGCGACGTTGCCCTGGAGCGCATCGGGTATTGGCCTCGGTATTCATTCTACATCAAACTGCTTTATATCTATAAGTCGCGTGCTTGTAGATGCCTTGGCCGCGATGCGGAGGCAGCGGTCTGGTACAAAAGGGCCAAGATCGAATATGATAGGGAGAATAGGGGGGAATAGAAATCGAATTGATGGACTGATTACTGTCGGTATTTGTTTCACGGCCAGCCTTGGTGAATGTACATGCGCTCGCTAGCGATTGCGCAAAGCTTGGTCAAAATGTAGACTTTTTTCTTTTCTTTTTTTTTCTACGGTAATGGAAATCAGGACCATAGTCATTAATCGAGCTCAAATGAGTGTCATTGTTTCAGCTTGAGTGAGATAAATCTGATGACTTGTGGTCTCTTTGTCTTCTTCAACAGTGTCCCAACTTCTCGTCACAATGTGCAGCCCAGCATAATCAGCAACATGGATATTGAAGGTCCAGTCATGTTCATTTTCAGTTTTTTTTAAAAAAAAAATAAAAAAATTGGATATCGTCGACGTGAAAGTAATCTACTCAGTCCTGAGCCATCTTGAGCTCGTGCGCACGACCGTAGCCCTCCCAAGCTGCTTCTCGTCAGTTGTGTGAGCCACTCGCAACAATCCAGGGCAACTCACGCTGTACAGGTTCGGGAGCAGGAGCGGCAAGAGCGGCACCGACGAGGGCAATGAAGCTGGCAATCTTGGTAAACTGCATTTTGTACAAGGTTATGCAAGTAAAAAAAATTGAACTGAATAAAAAACTAGTAGCGAGATAAGAGTACAACTCGAGGAAGTAGTGCTATATATACGTACGGCGCTTCGATTGTCAGATTAAAGCGTCGCAGGTACGGAAGAAGCTACCTTCCTTTCATGGAAGAAACCCGCCGAGGGCCTGCGTCACGTCAAAAGTTCCCCGATAGCTCGGCACCCTCTCGTCTATAGTCCATTGCGCCCATGTGGCGCCCGTGTAACACCGGGGAAGAGATGAGGGGCGGCATGTTGCTGGATACATTTCAGTGCCGCCTCGTATCTCAATAGCCTCGTGACAACTCCATAGGATTTGAGGCACATCTTCTAGCGAGCCTCGTTTCCTAGATTTGGGCGAGACTCAAGACGCCGCTCCTCAGCAAGCCCTGCGCGGTGGCTTGCCTAAACAAGTAACCCGCCGAGCAACCTGTCGACACCCTCAACTCAATTCCACGTATAAAAAGATTTTGAATATGCAAGGGTAGGAGCCGGGATCTTGAAGCATGATAGGAGTTGTCTTACTATGGGGAGAGCATGACCACGGTGTACCAACGCTAGAACGCAAGGCAAGCTGACTCGCAATCACAGGCAGTGTCGTTCCCGGGGCGCTTCGCGAAGTGCTCACACCCGACACTAAAGCAGCAGGGTGTTTCACCTTTATCGTTGCACTGTATGCCCAAGTCAACTAAACTCCTACTCACAAACCAGTTCACAACCGGTGTAAGAGCTAGTCCCGAGCCACTTTCGTTCCAAGGCTGTGAAACGAACCACGCTCAGGTTCAGGCGTCGGGGCGGGAGCTGAAAGTACAACGCCAACAAAGGTGGCAAAGCTAGAAATCATGCTAAAATGCATATTTATTCGAATTAGAAGGGGGGTGTTTTGAGGCGGTGATGATGTTGGCAGCAGGTCTCAAGCGAACAGGTCTCTACGAGTACTTCACAAAATCAGGCCTCTCAGTAGTTAAGCTTCCATAGTACAGCAATTGTAGATGAGTAACATGCCTCGGTAGTCGTACTGAGAATTCCTCACATGACTGGTAATACAAATGACGTTCTGAAGGCGTCTTGCATGCCATCGCTCTGCACCTAGGCTAGGCCATCTTCAGATCAGCATCAGCCGAATCGCCAGGTCTTTTCCCTTCGACAATGATAAACACGGACTTTTTTCTTGAAACCTTCGACAGCCATCCCGGAGTTTCTTCAAGTGTCTCGGATATAGCGGCATCGTTATTCTCTCGTCTGCTCTTGGGAACGTGCTTATTGATCTGGGTCAAATCGTACGATTACTAAGAAACGCCTCATTCGACGGAATTGGCAGGTCACAGATCTGAAAGCCGATAGGGCCTGTAATCTACTGCCAACTTTGCCAAATCTATCGTAGTATAAGTTTGGCCATTGCCGACTTTGTATACATAGGTTATCATGCACATGACCTTGTTGTACCCGGAACACCATACCTCTGCTGACAGCCTCAATTCGCGCCTGCAGTGTTGCCGGTCATGAGACGCTGCAGACTAGACGTCAAAGTTTCAAAATCACGCTGTTTCCAGATTAGATTGCGAACAGAATTGATTCTCTCCGACAGCCTTTTGTCGCCGACATGGCCTGGGAGGCTACGGCAGTAACGCACCATCTTGAACCCGTGATGAGCGTGATGAGCGCCACCGCGTACCTTGGTGTTTTATCAGGACACAGCCTATGGTGGATATTGCAGGATCGCCAAGCTTAACAGGAGCTCTCACTCAAGCCAAGTCATAGACTAGCAAAATGTCCTGGAAAGCCGATGCCACACCCTCGGCTTAGACGTCCTCGCCGATTGTTCATACCCCCACAAATCAATTATATCCGCGGGGTACATTTTTTGATTGACAACTCAAGTCTGACTTAAAACGGCACTTCAAGGCTGGTGGCTGAACGCCTCGTCTCGGCCCTTTCCGCTTCTTGACATCCTTGAATGCCAGCCCAAGCCGTATCCGGAAGGTTCTAGTGTTGTAAGCGGAATGAGGCTGTGCGCCAGTCAGCTTCTCAATATTTTGGCTGCATGCAACCATCATTTGCTCTTTGCTTATAGATTGTGCTATTGAAGATGTGATTGGTCGTCTTGTGCTTTTTTTTGCCGGAACTTTGAGAATAGTTGGGCGCATCCATGCACGCATTCCCCGCATCGAGCGGCACTTGGCGATACGAGCATGGATGCATCGTGGGGGGAATGATGCTGGGCCTACCTAGCGTGTGCCTCTTACTTTGCTCAGCTTCAGCCTGATATGGGCTCTTTTGCTCGCCGATGTTTCCTCTATCGGGATTTTCATTACGTCCGCGCGTGAGCCGTCTTTCTGCGGTTGTCACAACCAGGAGTCTAGTTGTATCCTCGCCTACCCCTTCTCCAGCCTACGTTTCCCGACTCTTTGTCTTGGTTTTTTCCGTTATTTTGTGTTTTGTTTCAATTTTTAGTCATGTCGGGGTTGGATCGTAGCAAGATGCGGTACGAAAAGATTGGATCAGACACCGACACGAGCTCAACGGAGAGCCTGCTTTCAGATCCGGAAGAGCACCACTACACGCGACCAACAGCCCGATCAAGGGCATGGACAACCTTCAACTCGGTGCTCTTTTGCGCCTCTGTAGGCTTCTTCACACTCGGCTGCATCCAGCGCTATCCATCGAATCTCGAAATAATGAAGCGCACATCCTTCTACTGTAAGCCCCCCGCCCTCTTCCTCTACTGCCATCACTAACAACTACCCCAGCCCCTGTATGGGACAGCATCAAGCTCGGCTCTCACGACGCCGTCGTCAGCGGCAGCCTCTGGACGCACAACGCCAGCGACCCCTTTCGCGACTTTACGACACCCAACCCCGACGTCGAGGCTCACTGGCAGGCCCTCGAGGACATTCGCGTCTTCCCCATCACCTCGGCGCAGCTGCGCCGCCTCGGCAAGGACCCCGCCGTGTCGGTCAAGTTCCCGCCGTCGTACGGCCTCGGCGACGACGCCTACATGGCGCAGGTCGACGTCTTTCACCAGATCCACTGCCTCAACCTGCTGCGGCACCAGGCGTGGAAGGCCTACGACCACGAGGCCACCATCCGCCGTCCGCCGTACCGGCCGCTGCACTGGATCCACGTGTCGCACTGCACCGACATACTGCTCAAGAACATCATGTGCGCGGGGAGCGTCGACGTCGTCACGTACCAGTGGCTCGAGTCGCAGCACCGCCCGTGGCCCGACTTTGACGTCAACCACAAGTGTCGCAATTTTGACGACATTGTGGCGTGGCAGGAGGAGCACGCGGTGCCGGTGACGTGGGGCCGCAACGTGACGCGGCCGATGGGCTTTCAGGAGGTGCGCATGCCGGATCTTTTTTTCGAGCTCAATAATGTGACGAGGGAGTTTGTGGCGGCGGCGAGTAAAGAGGATTTTGAGCAAGACCACATGGGACATGGCCCATGACCGCTCGTCGTAGACTTGGAGAGGATAGTCGTGGATTAATGTCGAGCAAAGCATTTACGGCACGGCATGAGAGAGAGAGAGAGAGAGAGAAAATAAAGATGCAGTAAACCAAACTACAGCGGGTATTGTCTACTCAAAAAGAACAATTAAATCTCAAGTCGTCCGCAACAATGAAAGCTCACACAAGTCCAGACCATGTATGCAGCATCCATACAGAAATAACCCATCCTTGCCAAAACTGAGATAAAACGCCCAGCGCCAGTTTATCCCATTTATCTCGTACATAGCCATCCAAATGCAAACTCTCAACATACAGACAGCGGGGAGCAACTACTACTACTGCGTCGCCTTGGCACTTTGACGCATCTTTTTCGGGCTACCGTTGCTCGCACCGCTGCCTGACCGCGAGCCAGCATCGGCGTGAACACGCATGCGCTCCATCTTTCTACCAAGAGTTGCGATGCCGCCTCCACCGGTGCTGCTGCCTGGTGCCACCGCTTCCGGCGCCGGTGAATAGTCATCCCTCTCCTCCAGGGGCTTGCGCTTAGTCGGGCTGCGACCGGCCAGCTCCCTCTTGAGCACGGCATTCTCTCTGCGCAGCCGCTCAACTTCCTCTGTCAAATCCTCCACCAAGACATTCTCCTTGTTGTGCTGCTGCTGCTGCTCGACATCCTGGCAGCCGGTGCTGCTGTCCAGGCCGCGCTCGAGCAAGTCGACCTTGCGGTCCCAGTGCTCCTCGCTGCGTTCCTGCTCCAGCGCCAGACTCGTCTTGAAGCGGGCCAGCTCGAGCATGAGCGTCTGCTCAAACTCGGCGGCACATTCGTCGCGCACGGCGGCCTCGAGGTCAATCAGGCGGTCCTCCATACTGAGGAGGTGAGCCTCTGCGGTGAAGCGCGCCTCCATGTGGGCGTCGGCTTCGGCGCGCAGCTGGTCGAGCTCGTCGCTGAGACGTGCAATTTCTAGCGCCGCAATCTCCATGGTGGCGCGCTCGTCGACGGGCGTGTGGTTGCGATAGTTGCTGTTGCTGTTGCCGCCAGCAGGGACGAATGGACGCTGCTGGTAATGATGCTGGATAGGGCTGACAGAACGTGTGGTGTTGCCTGATGCCAGTGTAGGAGCGTTGGCGAGTATTGTGGCAGTGATGGAGGGGACGCGCGGTACGGTAACCTCACGAGCGAGGGCGCTATAGCGGAGGATCTGAGATGTGGCGTTGTAATCACCGGTTGGGTCGGCAGTCACAATCATGACGCCCCTTTGAGGATTCCGGCGAGGCATATGCGGGCTGGCATGCGACGGGAAAGAGTTGGAAAAGAGAAGCTCAGTCAGCTTACACTGTCTGTATGGGACAACGTTGGGCTATAAATATCAGCGTCGAGTTCAACAAAGCACTATGCGCCATGTAATGGTCATACCTTGGTCGAGGTTCCCAGCTCACTCTGTGTTTGTAGGCACTGTCCGAGGTACATGAGACTCTCATTAATCTTGCCCGCTTCGACAAGCGTAGCACCCGCCGTCTTGGCTTCCCTGGCGCGTTCACTGCCAGCCAAATCAACCACCGTCAGCTTGCTGCCGCCCCACGGGCCAGGCCGTCGACCACCGTGGCGCTTCTTGACTTCAAAGCAAAAGAAACCGTGGCTGCGGCTCGACACGCTGTTGCTGCCGGTGCCCGTCACGCGACGCTCCTGCAGACCAGCCTCGAGAACGAGCAGCGCCTCCCTGACCGTCGTGCAGACAACTTTGCGGAGGCCAGCGACAACCTTGCGATCTGGTGACAGTTCTGTCGACTTGAAGAGTAGAGGGCGACGGCGAAACTCTTTGGTGGCGGCATTCTTCGTGGCAGGGGTGAGGAGATCGTATATACGGTCGTTGTGAACCTCGTACATGGACACAACAACAACATATTCGGCCGAAGCATCACACGGTACGAGGATGCCGCTCACATCGGGCTGTTTCGGGAGAGAGTTTGGCATGGGCGGGAGGTTACGGCGAGGCGCGGAGGACATGAGGCTCGAGCTAAAGTCGCCCTGGATGCTGTTAGTCTTGACACCCTGTCTGTGGACGGTGGATTCGTTGCGGGCCGTGGCGGTGAGGGCCATGTAGATGGGCTCCAGCCGCTTCTTGGACAGAGATTTGGGCTGCGCAACGTCGGGCTGCCAGGAACGGCACTACGGCTCCAGCGTGCGCGACAGTCGCGGCAGCAATGGTGGTGGTGACTCGGGAAACGGGCAGGGCAGGGTTCGTACATTCATGGGTGTGGCAGCGCGCGAGTTAGCTCGAGAAAACTGCGAGTGGTCGGCAAAAACGGTCTCGAGATACTGCGGCGCCGCCACAAGGGGTGATTCTGAAGGATCGCAGGCCTGCAACGATTCGAGGACGGCGGGCAGAGAGGCGACGTCGAGCATACTGGGGCCGATGGAGCGAAAGACGACGTCCACTGCCAGCTGGGTAAGGCCTCGCTGCGTCTTGGACCCGAGAATAGTATGTGTCTGACAAGGTTAATAACGCTTCTCTTTTCCCGAATCAGTTTAATTACCTTTCCAGAGCCCGTCACACCAAGCGTCGCGACGACTGCATCCGTCCCTTCGCCCCCCTTGGGCGCCAGCACGCCCTCAATCATCTTGACAATCTCCGTGCTCGAAAAGACATCCAGCTGCGACGCCGTCTCCGCAAAGACCTGCGTGAAGCCGAAGCGCTCAATGGCGCGACGGCGGTCCGACGGCGGGTTGAGCGTAATGTGGCTGGGCTTGACGCCATCTCGATCGGGCGTCTCGACTGTGAGGACTCGGTCCGTTTGCGCGACAGCAGCAGCAGCAGCAGCAGCAGCAGCCGTGGGCGGTGGGCGCAGCCGAAGATAGACCTCAAAGAGGTTCTGCGACGTCTTGGGAGCGGGTGCGTCCATTGTTAGGTAGGTAGGGTTTAATGTAAAGGCAAGCGCCCGAGTCTGGCGGTGTTGCTGGCGGTGAGGTAGATGGGTCCTTTTGGCTGATGGGATGGGGGTTTTTGGAGAGATGCGGCGGAGAGGAGAAAGGGGAAAAAAAAAAAAAAAAAGAAAAGATGTCGGATAATGCTAGATGGGCGACGCGGTGCAAGTTCGAGTGTGCGCCGTCAAAATTTATTTCATCGCTGCTGTCGAACCTGGCACAAAGGGTTAATACTGCATGAAGTCCTGTCAAACGAGATTGCGCTGGTTGTTTGTTGCGCGACACATTGGCCTAACGCGGTAATCATCTGGTTGGCCCAGCAACAACCCCCACCCTCACGTTTGCAGGGTATTGAACCAACAACCTTCTTGACGACTACCTTTCGACGATTTCCCGATTTTCCTTTTCCTTTTCCTTTTTCTTTTTTCTTTTTTTTTTAAGAAAGTAAACATACAATATAGCAAAAGTTTTTAAAAAGCAAAGCAGTAGTGTCAATTTGGTTATCGAGCTAATTATTACTATTAATTCCAAAATCTGTTCAAGACCTAAAAGTCATGCATCTTTCCAGCTGATAGATTGTGTGATTGAAGTTGTGATTGATTGACTCATCCCCCCCCTTTTTTTTTTGCCGGAAACTTTGGATATGGTTTCGGCGCATCCATCCATGCATTGACGCCCCAAATGTTGAATTGATCGGTCGAATTGAGGTTGTTGTGATGTGGTTAAAAGGAGGAAAAGGGAGGAGAGTCGGCAGCCAAGTTGTTGAATCTTGGGTGCGCGAATTACCAAACCTTATCGCCCGCTCGGGTCCTGATACCAGTCGGGTTTCTGATACCAGTCGGGTGTCTGATACCAGTCGGGTTTCTGATACCAGTCGGGTTCCTGATACCAGTCGGGTTTCTGATACCAGTCGGGTTCCTGATACCAGTCGGGTTTCTGATACCAGTCGACTCCGGACTCGGATGAGGTATGTGTCGTTGATCTACACCCACGTTAACTCATGCGTTCAATCTGATTCTTCAAGTGCAACTCTACAAGATGGATGGCGCTCTGCCAATGATAGAGGACTCATGCGTTGAACAGGGGTATTCAGCTGCCATCCAACGCAGAATATCTGTAGCTTCAGAGCTTATCTTGTCGAGTCCACCTAGCATGTAGTCCAGTTTCCCAGTGTACATGCTGCTGCACTGGACTTTCTTCAAGAGCGGATCGTATGCGCGGCGGATCTCTCCGAGGAATTCAGCTTGCGCCTCTGCGCTCTTGATGAGCAGGGTCCTCGTCGCTGCACTATCCGTTGGATTCATCGGCGCGTCTGCGATATACACCGTCTCCAGACGCTCATTCTGCAGTTTCAGAACCGTGATTAGCTTCTCTCGTTGCTCAGCAGTGCTCTCAATCAGGACCCAGGCCGAGAAGCTGAGGCTGAAATTGTCAAGGACCAGAGATTGGTGTCGGAGCCCATGTATGAGTCGCTCAATAGTCAGATCCTTGACAGCTACCAGTGCGAGGTCGGGACGGTAGAGCCAAGACAGGATCAATCCGGCAATTTCATCATCGGCAATCTTCAAACCCTTGTCCTCGAAGAAGTTTGTGAGGTTGCCGTCGCGTGGGAAGCACCTTTCGAGTGCCAATGGGGTAAAATTCGAGATGTTTTTGAACTCCGCCAATGACTTTTCGGCCAAAGCCGCTTCGCTGGTTGGCTCTTTCGGAAGCGCTGCGTGTTTGTTGGCCCAATTCGTCAGTTCCTCGGTGTTCCAGACCACTGCGACTTGTTAGTAATGGTAATAGCCAGAGAAGCGGCATGAGCGCAAGGCACAAGGTACAGAGCCAAGTGAAGGGACAACGAAAAGAAATACGTACGTTGCAAAACAGTCAAATCGTCAAGACGAGGGAGATTGTGAATAGATTTAATCACTGACTGCCCCATTGGAGTGTACCGCCCAAACTCAGCGTTGCAGTACTCTTCCATCGTTACCAGACGTCTGTCTTCTCTGCCATTGCAGCCTGGTGGCATTTCAATGACGCCCACTTTTATATTATCCAGGTCAGTTGTATCAAAAACGACAATCGTAAAGTCTGATGTAGGGTCTACAACAGATTTGAGACTGTTTGGAGCCCAGATAGACGGCTGCTTGAGAAACTGTTCAATGCTAGTCTTCTCTTTCAAAGCTTGTTGGCCGAGGCAGTCCAAGATGCCGCATGTAGTGTATGGGTTGAGTGCTCTTTGCGGGTTCCGCAAAGCCGTTTGTCTGCCGGGAATACTCTTAGCCAGGAAGCGGGCATCCTTGGCAGCCCCCAGGTCATAGCGGAACCAGAACCGGTATTTGCGGCTCACTTCGAGGACCGATTTCTTCTCGGCCTCAAGTCTGCAGCGAGCGGCTGGGTCCTTGTTCGAGAGAAAATTGTGTATGAGGAGGCTGCGTTCGGCGACCCATAGCTTGTCCTTTTTCCTCCAACAGCCCTCATTGAACGGGACTTGGTTCACAATGGAAATAGGTGTGTAGATACCGTCGATTTTGGTGACGACTTGAAAGACGTAATTGTTATTATTCACCTGCAGGGGTGGGTGATCAAGCTTCGTGATGCTTGGATCGAATGGTTCAGTCATATTGACTATGGAAGAAGAAGAAGAAGAAGAAGAAGAAGAAGAAGAAGAAGAAGAAGAAGAAGAAGAAGAAAAAGAAGAGAATGTTTGCGTTTCGTTGAGTAGATAAGTGCAGGCAGATATGCTTGATGAATATACCAGTAGTCGTTGGGAAGGACGGCTTTTATAGAAGACGAGGTAGCCAGCTGAATGGTATCTCCCTTCTGCCTGACTCCGATGTGAGCATTGAAACCTGATATTGAGCTGCACGGAACTAAGGCATCCTCCGTTGAGGCGTCGATAAACAAGACATACGGTGCAGGCATGTTGACAAGTGTTGTTAACTGCCAAGATTATACGAGTGTAAATTTGACAAGCAGGGGTGCTGGCTTCCAAAAATGGTCAGCGAAGGGGAGTCATAAATTCGCCCCCAAATATTTGATTCCGTATATAGAGTCAAGTGCAGTTGATTGGTGGACCGGTAAAGGTCTCTGTCGCGGTCTTTACTGAGCACAGACCAAGAAGTTAAAGTTTCAGGACAAAAAAGAGGAATGCTGCCTAGAAGCTGCATAGAGCTATCAAAGCCGGTGCAGAGATGGAGCCATGTACAGCTACTTGACGACTGTGTCCACGGGCTCCGGTGAAGTGCTGACCACAAGTATGGCTGCCACTGTCCATGATTAACCAGACACCATGCCAGGTTCGTATATCAAGAGCCACCAAGCCTGAGACATGAAGCGCAACAAGGCCAAAATATACGACGAAATCAGGCATCATCGCAGGATTTTCTTTGTTACGCAAAGTACGGCGCATGTAAGTGTGCAGACCGGTCGCGGGAGATGGAGGGGGGGGGGGGTGGGCACAGACCAACAATGAAGATAAAAATAAAGCAGCAAGTCTCCAAGGCATCAGCACCAGCATCCTGAATCAAAGCCCAAGTTGGCATAGTTACCGGTGTGGCAACGTGGAAGCTATACGTTCAGCTTGGCCCAACATGAAAGGTAACTTTCATGGGCATCCAACGAGAACAGTCACAAAACTACACACAACGCATGAGATGAGTCTAGAACAGCGAGCTCGCACCTCTAATCCAGTGGAGCACCTCCGGCCAAAAGACTTCACTGCCATGCTCTCAAGTTGTACGGGCATGGAGCTCTCTACAACGATGCTACATGTCAAATATCCAGCGCTTACCGTAACGGATAAAGCAGCCCACGCCCCCCCCCCCCTGTATACTTTACTTATATGTACAATGAGCTAACAATAGTATGCAAGTGCTTCCGACGTAGCACGGCAATATCGTTGTGTGTACCGTCCAAGACCAGGGCAAGACTAGGCAGTCGTCCCGTTACGCCTTGTCATCTGCAGCATTTTGATAGCAAAAGAAAAGAACATTAATGATCAGCTAGATTCGTACAAGGCTAGGACTAATACAAGGATATATAGTGCATATATATCGCAGCGCTACCAAAGAAAGAAACCAGGTACTTTTAAGCCGCAGTAGTGTTTCCATATTCCAGATATCATTCAGCCAAGGAAATGAAGACAATATCAACGGGAAATAAATGCAGAAGATGTGAAATAAAAAGCTCGGAAATGGCCACTCTTTCATCGCACCCTCCAGGGGGTTATCGCTCTTCGAAAAGTGCACATAGAGCAACAACAGTTGCTCCTTGCGACATCCATTTTCCAAGAAATCCGCAGATACACACGATAAGAAACGCCTAGTAAAGATTGGCCACAGGCCCTAGTTGGCGACACGAAACCACACAAGAAAAGAATGAAAAAAAGGAAAAAAAAAAAAAAAAGAGAAAAGAAACAGAAAAAGAGATGAATCGCTTCGGATCGTGTCCATACGAGGCCAGGGGCAACTTCTTCGTCAAGAAGTCACGCCGTCCTCGGTCGTCTTTTGTAAATTAGCGATGTGCGTAATTTGCGTCATATGTCATGTTGGGCATCGCGTTAGATTCGTAGCATGTTGACATCCGAGATGCTGCGGTGTCGCTTGTGGCTGGCATTGGCGTGATCACCCGAGGCTTTACGTTTCGCAGACACATTTTCGAGCGGGCTGCGAGCCATGTCACCCATGTGCTTTTTGTGACGGCGGATGGGTGTGAGAGGGATGCCCGCCGTGTCGAAGCGGTCCGACTTCAGGCCCTTGAGAGCCGTGTAGTTGTAGGGCCCGCTAAAGGCCAACGAGTCCTGCGTGGCCTGGTTGCTAAGAATCAACTGCTGGTTGATCTGGTTGCGCCGGAAAGCGCCAACCGTCTCCGGGTTGAGGTGGGAGAATACATCAATCTCGCTCGAGGCCGTTGTGGGGCGAACGGGAGTAGACGACGGTTGCCAGTTACCATTTTCATCTTCCTCGCCGGATGAACCGCCCTCATCCCAGGTGATGAAGTCGCTTATATCCAAGTTCTTTTCGGCATCATCATCCTCGCCTTCGATGCTGGAGGAGCTGCCGTCGACGATACCCTCTGTCGGAAAAGGAAAGAAGGCGTCCGAAGGCCCTATGAGTTGCGGATTCACAAAATCACCAAATGTGTTGGAGGAAAACATGGCATTCAGCATCATGTTGGTGGGGTTGTTGATTGAGAAGGTTTGATCTTCCAGGGGCCAGGCAAAGTTGAACTGCTCGGGGGAGAGGTCTAGCTGCTGACGGCGGTGCGGAGTGAAAATCATCATTTTTCGAGTGAGGGGGTTCAGCACAGCAATGGGCTTCTTGTCGGAGCGGTCTAGCTTGAAACGGCGGACACGAGGCTGGCCACGTTGGTTCTTTACGGGTTCCGACTCAGAATCGGTCATTTCACTAATGGAAACAGATGGACGCCGGGTCTTTCTGCGTACAGGAGGTTCTGGAGTGTCGTCTTCAGTCGTGTCACCATCAGCTGGGCAAGAAATTAGCAATTTACGGAGATAAACAAGTCCCGCGAGGCAGGACTCACTTTCATAGCCATCGAGATCTTGCACGTCGGCCAAGGCGGGCGTTATGTCCTCGATCTCGATGTGTTTGCTGTGCGAGTTGGCGATGGGAGTGTCGTTGTCGGAGAGCTGGCGAATGATATCTTCAGCGTCGGAATCGTTGCCAACGTGGTACTGGCCAGAATAATCCCAAAAGGTGCCAGAGTCGGAGGAACCGTCGTCGGGGTCATTTTCAATCTCTTTGCGAAAAGCGGGGTCTAGAGAGTTTTGAGCAACGAATATGTCGGGGAACAGGTCGCCATGATCGTCCTCGGTGTCGGTAGAATCAGAGTCGCTTGAAGGAACATCAAAGCGAACGTGACGCTCAATGGCCGCATCTGAGGTGAAGACGCTAGCGTCGTTGTAGAAATCCGACACTTGGTTATCTTCTGGGTCGGAGACGATGCCGGCCCAGCTGGTCTGTTCGTCGGCGTCATCGAATTCGATATTGCCATTGACAGAAACATCGACTTCGAGTTCGATTTCCTGGTCAGAAACTTGGTCGTTGTCGTCGTCATCGTCTTCTTCTTCAGCGTTGTCGTCGTCGAGGAGCGGTCGAGGAGAGGTCAGAGGCTCGAGCACGGCTTCTGTGCGAATGTTCTCCTCCTCGACCGCATCAACATCATCCTCATCGTCATCTTCCGAATCGGTAATGTCTTCAACGGCAGAGTAACCATCATCGTCGGAGAGGTCAAACGAGGACGACGACGTGGTATCGGAGTCTCGACGCTTAGTGCGCTTGAGGGCGGTGGTTTTTTTACGAACCATGATCGTAGTCTAATTGTGTGGGGTTATGAACACTTTTTTCTATCCGGCAAAAAGCCAATCGTGGCTGAGAATAAGTGAGGAGAATCCACTCTCTATCGCGTAGAGGATTGACAATGTTTGGGTCGTGAGTGTATCGGTTTGAGATGTCGGTGATTGTGGAAATTTCTGATAGTGTATGCCCCAGGCGTGACGGGCAGAGGTTGGTATTGCGTATCTTCTTTGAAACAGCGCTTTGAAGGCTAAGCAGGGCTCAGCGGGGGTAGAGCTGTGGAAAACGATTTGTCGAGTAGAATAGTCGAATATCTCGGTGAACTGCTGGACTGCGAGCCATGGCCAGGTAAGGGCTACGGCTCGCAGTGGGCGATTTACAGCTCAGCGACGGCCCTAGGCATGGTGACTCGGCAAAATGTTTTCTTTGGGAATGTGAGCAAGCTGTGTGCTGGATAGGACGACTTCGTTGTCTGGGTGGGATGGATTTGATGTTGAAGCAGAAGAAACAAGAAGAGGAGAGGACAGAAGGGGAAAAAAGAGGCTTTGGGCGGGCGTCAGTCCAGCAGTCCCAAACTTTTTTTTGGGTGGGGTTGACAGTGGTCTGCTTCGTCGGACTTTAGTGGATGGCCGCCTGTATGTGTGGGCAGATGGGGGGCTACTGACGCCCGATAATGAGCTTCCATTGGCCGGATTCTGCCAGGCTAGTCCTTCTCTAGATAGAGATCTGAGGCGGCTGCGTACCTCTGCTCCTCTGGCGGTGGGTGCTGCATCGTCACCGCTCTTTGCAAAGCTTCCAACGACATTTGAGGCGTCAACAATAAGGGGCTTTGATGGCCTCACAGAAGAGTCACCATCCAACTCAGAAGGGTCGATCCTGCAGTCACAGCAGATCATCTCTGCACATCCAGCGGGGCTCCCACTGAATGAAGTCTACATTTCCCCGTGCGGGGCTCTGCAAACCCAACATCAAGTTGCGAGCGTGTCGGTATGAAATCTGCCTAATGCCCTAGTTCATGCCCTATTCGACGACACTGCGTGTTAGTCACAGTTCTATAAGCTTTTTTACATTGACTCGTGATATCCAATCGTCCTGCAGTCATAGATGTATGACTCTTTTTATGGCAAGAAAAATTGCCCACCACTTTATTGCTCCACTCGCAGTCCCTGGATTTGCACTCTTCAGCCCCACTGTACCAGTGGCTGACCTCCAATTTCCGGTGGCGCTCCAAGACATTGACTGTACGTTTGACCGTGGTCGAAAGAGACGGAGAACAATAGATGCATAACTTCGACGACATCAACTCCATCACACTCTATAACGTTGGATGCTCGAACTCGGATAACAGATCAATCCCAACTCATCTTGAACGACAAACAGCATCTGCATTTCACTCATTTTGTTGGAAAAGAACGACATGTACGGTATTGTCGTCTCGCACATTGCGCTTGACAGGCGGCGTTGCCGTTTACGCTCCTGCCGCCATATACAAATGCCCCCCGTCTATTTTTCCTCGCCACAACGCTGCGTTGTTCATATGATCAATTCTAAAGTTCTCTACCGCCTCGTGAGGCTGAGAAAGTTGCCCCATTTGAGTTGCACCGAGACTCGTGCGACTCGGCCGCAGTTTCTGGCCGGACTGGCCCTAAGCGTCGCACAGCGACCCAGCGCGACGCGCACTCCACCACATTCTCGTTACTAATGGCTTTTCAAAACTCAGCAGATTTGAGAATCGCAAAGTCGTAATTTCAACAAGACGCGTCGCTACCTTGGGAGATCCCGTCATTTGAGCTGGTGTGTTGGGCTCGCTCCATGGCGGTGGGCTGTGGCTGTGGCAGGTGCCCTGAGCAAGCATGCCCAGCTCGACCAGCCGCTTCCACCGATGGCACCAGAATTCGAAAGCCATGTCAATTATATCACCCTCTTTGCCAGGGTGGGTGGCCACGATGCGCGTATCCTCTTGCCTGTTGTGCACATTATGGTCCTCTGTCAACACGTCAACCATATGGCTTGTCTAGCTCTGGTGATAACTGAGCTCTCATAGCTCTCGATTCGCCTGTGTGAGCCACAGGCGAAGTTGAAGAGCCGAAATCGTACGTGAAAAGTACCGCGCATGAGTCACTGCGCATGAGTCAGCAAATGCAGGTGTTCCAACGACATGGAACTCTGTTGTACTAGCTCGACACCACTGCGAAGAGATTTAGTGCATTGACGATATCCTTGAAGATCGTGGTCTGATGAAGGAGACCGGTCTTCCACTAAATCCCAGCATATGGAGTATCTCCCTGCCCGACTTCGCCTTTCACTATGCTAACATGCAGTGCTCCTCTGACTAAAGTTTAGTCACAAGAGTAACAACATTCACATGGCCTATGCAGCCGTCTATAAGGTTGCAAGACGTGGTGTTTTCCACGATTTCGCGAGTGAATTGATTGGCCTAGTGTAATGGCGATGATTGACGTGACTCTAGGACTGTATTCGGCTACTTGCCCCTCTGTACTGCCAAATCTTGGATAATGCCGACGTCAAGAGCTCGAACGAACAGTTTGTAAATGCACCAGTGCATTTGATCGAAAATTGCTCAATATCATGGTGATGAGCAAAAGAAGCCAAGTGACTGCGGGCGCAGAGGCTCACGGCAGGTGACTGAACCTGCGTATACTTCGGAAAGGCAGAGAAGGAGTATAACGCGTGGTCCCCATTGTTTGCGTCATGACAATGGCACCCCTTGAAAGGCGAGAAATCCGAATTGCGGATAGCGTAGCAATAATGGCAGCCGACAGTCACCATGGACGAATGAAACAGCCAAGTAAAGGTATGTGGTGGAATGAATGTGACCGCAGATGGGCGGCTTTGTTTTGCAAGACCAGTTGCGCGGGAAACAGTCTTGTCAACCGACTTGAGTAATCTTTCTTTGGCATGGTGGCTGCAGTTGTGCTCACAGGTCTAAGCAAACGCCAAAGACTCGTCTCGGTTGCATCCATTGATGGGCTTGGTGTAAGCCGAAGCAACTTCAGCGTCTATGATGGGCCAGACGCAAGTGATGTCAGTCTGTGACGATTTTCAGAAACAAAGCAGCGCGGTAGATGTCCGAAATGACGCAACTTCAAGGAGAAAACAGATACGAGCCGCAACGCCACATAGCCTTTGTTGTCCGTTGTCAACCCCACAACCAACTGAGTTTACAGCGCGAACACCAGAGTTTTTAAGCAACTGTCTCTGCCTCCCTCCGCCCATGCCCTTGTCGTCAAGGCGCTTGTCTCTCGATTTGGTTCATCCGAGCCCTGCCGCCAAGCTACCGTCGAGACCTCATCCCCGATTTTCACTGATTATCTGGCAGACCCCTCCCCCCAAACAGAAAGGCACGGCTTGTTCGCAGGGAAAATTCACCCCCTTATATGTGATCAGATTGCGAGAGTCATCGCTAGCAGCAACATTGCTTTTGGTCTGTCCCAACGATCTGGCGAGACTGTGGAATGTGCCCTGAAATCATGCTGATATTTAGGAGCAAAAGCTCAGGCCAGCAGCACACATCCGTCGTGGTCTATGCAGGTACTATCTTGCGTGGTCAATGCGACCAACACTCGATGCGATTAGCAGCGACATCCTCGCTGGTGAAAAACCAACTTGCTACGGGAACAACCGCATCAGCCGTCACTGCCGGCTTCTGGGCGCAGTCAGGTTAGCCGTTTGCGTCTCGGGTGGCGCAACTCCCGAATGTGCCATCTTTCTTTGTTCTCTCCCGCAGTGTCACAGTGTGCCAGTACCGCTCGGCGCCTAGTAGGATCACACAAGGTTCCCTCCACGCTCAGCTACGCCCCTACCGCTTGTCGTTTGACAGCCAGGGATGAGAGTTGTACAGCGATAGACTTTATTTCACAAGGCAGTGGGCATGTTTCCGATCGTGCTCCGTCCGTCTAAGCTTGAAAGACGTCGGACGATAGTCTGACATGGCTTACACACGGTATAAGTTCGGCACTAGTGCTCGAAATTGTACGACATGGCGTGAAACTTGGAGCCTCGGCTCGGAAATGGCAGAGACGGCGGCAAGCTGCGTACAATGACATGTTGTGTGGTTGCATGCGTGACGCGCGCCAATAGCAGAACCGGACATTTGCGTTGAACCTTTCCTGCTCTGACGAGCACAATATTTGGGAAAGACGGTATTTCAGTATCTAGATTCCAGCCGCCGCCGTACCTTTGGTCGTCAGTCACCAGGTTCATGTATGCATGTCTTCACCTGCTAGGTGGAGAGGACGTCTTCATATGACCGGAACACGTAGTGAAAGAAAGATCAGCAGACCACCCTGGGACAGCGTGCTGCGCAAGAAAAAGCGACATGATCGAGCGGCTAGATCATGATGAATACTTTGTTCCAGTATCGTCGCCGGACAACTCTTCCGCAAGTTGTGTTGCATGGCCAGTCTCAGCAGTCAGTCGCCTCAGTCGTTATTGTTTCTAGACCGACGTGGTAAAACTGATACAGAGACGTATATACTAGCCACCAAAGATGAATAATACCAAATATTTCCCAGTACGAAGCATCACAGTTGTACTTGTCTCGAGTATATTTGACAGCTCGCATTACGCAACCAAGGCAGTGATTAAGTGCACCCGACCGGAGACAAGTGTTTGCAGCACGCGCACACAACTGAACAAAGAAGCAAGGGATACGAAAAGATACAGCTCGAATAGGGTTGATCCGTTGCAAATGCAGTTCAGCTGTGCTACTGGTCCACTTTCCTCCGAGTGCATCAACCTAGGTCAGCAGCACGGCTTCATCTTCCGGAACCACTACAGATTAATTTGTTGTGATACAAAACGAACGAGGTTTGATCGAAATCGCTGGGGCAAACTGCATTCGCTTCCTTCCGAAGCAAAGCATAGCGAGTACGGGCATAGCCAAATGCCCCCAGAGGCCCATGACAAACGACTGGGAACACCTAGGGCACTTGGTAGATCCTAACCTGGTTCGCATTTTGGCCGATGTTGGCATATTTGCGCACTCAAAGCGCTTCGAGCCGCTTGCAGGACTCAAAATGATGGTTCTCCGAGTTTCTGTACACGAAAAGCTGCTCCCGTCGTTGGACGAGCGTGTCCGACGACGGAATGGCAAAAAGGATCGTACCGGGAGCACCGAATCGGCGGATAGTAGAACAAACCACAAAACGCGGAGATTTTGACATTCGGGTTGAACACTAAATCACCATATCCGCGTTACGTCTCCCGGCGCTGGCGTACAGAAGCAAGCAACGGCAGCAACGAATGTGTCTTCACCACCGGGCGCGTAACTGCTTGTATAAATACCCTTGCTTATCTTTCGAAGATATTCCGATTATCATATTCAGACTTTATCTCGTCAATCTACGTACCTTCTAGCTGCTATTATCTTTGGATATACTTTCCCATATTCCAATATGAGTGACGCGGGCCAACTACACAGCTTCGACGATGCCATGGACATCAACAGAGCCCCCCTCCTCTTCTGCGAGCAGATTCTACCCAAAAACATCCAAGAAGTGCTCTTCTACGTCGTCATCCGTCACAATGGGCAGTTCCACCCCCTCGCCGTCGCGTCCCAGATGCCCCCCATCGGCGCACTCTGGCAGGTCTTGCGCAAAGACTTTGTCGTCGAGTCGGTGCGCAAGATATACGCCCACCTCTCCGACGAACGCAACCACGCCAAGCTCGCCGAAGAGGTGCGGAACGCGCGCCAATTCTACTACTACCAGGGCTGCGAGGCGGCGCTCTTTGGCCCGGAGGAGCCGCCCGGCGTGTCCAGCGCCGAGGACCGGGCCGTCTGGCTCGCCAACCCGGCGTTTCCGCACGCCGCGCGCGCGCTCACGGACAGCTTAGACGGCGAATTTTGGGCGCCGGTCGGGCTGCACACGACCATGGGCATGTATGACCAGCGGTACAGGGCGGTGGTGTTTGACGTGACGGACCTCGACAACGAGGCGTGCGGCGTGGTCGAGATGAAGCAGGTCAGGAAGACGCACGAGTTTACCGGCGCAACGGAAGAAGTCATGTATCGGACGGTCGTGACGGTGCCGGAGTGGGAGGCGATGGAGACGGGCTTTGAGAGCATGCAGGGAAAGAGAGATGATTCGGCGGCGCATCGCATGGCGGATTTTCCCACCATTCCTTTGATCAATGACGCGGTCCAGCAAAGTAAGTGGATGCTCTGTTTTTCTCTTTTTTGTCTGTGCAATTTGGCATGATTCATGTGTCGTTTCGGGGCGAATTGGCTAACTAACGAGTTGCAGTGCTCTGGAACAAGAATTACATGTCGAGCTAGCCAGTTGGCGGAGCTCAGAACGAAGCTTCCCGAGGCTGGAAGCGAGGAGGCCTAGGAGTCTGAATTATGATTGACGACATTCGGTGTGGAAATTCAGCCACCGGGGTAACTGTCTATCAATCTATGTTGCGCCAGCCATTGGGCATAGCCGCCTGTCACGGGTGACATGCGTTTCTCTACCCCGGGGGACAGTGCGTACTGCAGCACACAGGATGGATGGATTTATACCATTTCAAATCAATGTGAATATTGTGAAATTATTCTTTTACGCCCGTGGCACAATATTTATGCTGGTAATTGTCGTACTGTGACACGAGACTTTTCTTCGGTGCTTACGAACATAATCTAGCAACTTCCGGAGCTAAGCACAAGTATCGTAGCTCAAATCGAGTGCGGTTCAACGTATCCTGGCGCGGCAAGCGGTTTGCAAGCAGGCTGAATCCCATGTATATCACTAAAGCAATAGCTCTTTGGGCATTGACAATTTTTGCTGTTGCTTCATGTCATGTTCCTGGCCAGAAGTGAGTGCGGGAGTTGGCCGGTTCGGCGGGCTGACACGATGGGTGTGTTTACTTACGACTTGGCATGGATGAGTCTTTCCCGACAAACACCAATCGTCCCACCGCATCGCTTCTGTATGTTGATACCCAAAGGAAGAAAAAAGTCCTAAATACATCATCAGACAGGCCTGGAACTCGGTCAGAGGTCCCGAAGCCACGGCAAATCACATACGAACACGTAGCCTAGACTTGGCCGATTTTCCCGGCTTTGGAGCCCGAGCAGACAGTTTTTTCTCACCGGAAATAGTCGTTGTCGATTGGTACAAATGTCTTGGAAACGGCAGGACTAAGTTGATGAGATGATTTAGGCCGTAAGGTAAAAGCTGTAGCAAGACATTTTTTTTATAAGACACGGCAAAGACCCTGAACCGCGCAATACCGTTACGTGCGGAGCAAGGTCTCAGCCCAGCTAGCCATTATTTTGCTCTATTTTACAGAAGGGAAAAAAAATGGTACGCTTTCTTTGTCTTGGCTGAATCATGGGAGAGC